CAGACGGGAGCTGCTGATCATTCTGCTTCTTTTAATGGAGATCATCAACAAACTATAAAAACAGGCCTGAAGTTGTAAACCAGGCTTTCACTGCTCCCACAAGCTCTCTAATAATGGGAACTGCAAACATTAGAATAAGATTATCCCCAAATATAAACCCAGAATCCATTATCTGATTATCTGGTTCTGTGTGGATCCAGAACTCGACCGTAGCAAAGTCATCGCTCTGTTTGCTGTTCTGAATCTCTCCTCGTCTCCTGAAGAGACTGAGTGAACAGTTAGGTGAGTTTTGTGCGTGTTTCCAGCGGCAGACTGGTTTCCATCTGCTGCTCCGTCTGAAGACTGTTGTGTAATTTCTGGCTCTCTGAGACTGCAGCTGGTTTCAGCTCAGAGCCCCGAACCACAACCACGACTGGAATCCTCTGCTTTAAAGCTGGAACACCTTCTTCTAGTCTGTCTGTCTGTCTGTCTGTCTGTCTGTCTGTCTGTCTGTCTGTCTGTCTGTGTGCTAACAGCCTGTTTAAACAGCTGGTTATTTCAGCTAACAGCAGCTTCACAACCAGCCCGGCCTGTTCAACCACTGAACAACTCTGTGTGTGTGTGTGTGTGTGTGTGTGTGTGTGTGTGTGTGTGTGTGTGTTGGGATGCCTGTGCTGTGATGTCAGCGTTTCTGCCCGTACTCGGTGGTATGCAGGCTGTGTGTTCACCTAGACACACACACACACACACACACACACACACACACACACACACACACACACAATAAGATTAGAGTACAATCCAGTATCTGTGTCCACCATCTTGTCTGAATGTGTGTGTGTGTGTGTGTGTGTGTGTGTGTTTGCTGTGTTCTTGCTGCGATGGTGTGACTTTAAGCAGTGTTGACAGAGCAAACACACACTCCTCGGCCCTGTGTGTGTGTGTGTGTGTGTGTGTGTGTGTGTTACAGTAATGTGTTGTTACCTGGTTGCACTTTAACATATTTAGTTCCAGTGGCTGACTGAGGAGCTGCTGGCTGAGACATTAAATGTGTGTTCACAATCAGATGGTTCCTGATTGTAATGTTATTTCCAACTTTTCATAGGACCAGATACAGTTCACACAGAAAGTAGCTTTATCATTTACCCGATGTATCACAGTGTTTAGAGCTACAGCTAATGTCCAGCGTCCGTCCCTAGAAGCTCTTAACATAAAGTTAAAGTGTATTTTATTTATTATTACTGTAGCAACAGTTATTGTGCAGCTTTTGTTCAGGGAAACAGTTTTAGGACAACGTGTTATATCTGAAATGATGTTCAGGTAGCTGTGTTGGCGTTCAGGACTGGGTACTGGGTACAGGATACTGGGTACTGGATACTGGGTACTGGATACAGGGTACTGGATACAGGGTACTGGGTACTGGGTACAGGGTACTGGGTACTGGCTACTGGGTACAGGGTACTGGGTACTGGGTACAGGGTACTGGGTACAGGGTACTGGATACAGGGTACTGGATACAGGGTACTGGGTACTGGATACAGGATACTGGGTACTGGATACAGGGTACTGGATACAGGGTACAGGGTACTGGGTACTGGGTACTGGGTACAGGGTACAGGGTACTGGGTACTGGGTACTGGGTACTGGCTACTGGGTACAGGGTACTGGGTACTGGGTACAGGGTACTGGGTACAGGGTACTGGATACAGGGTACTGGGTACTGGGTACTGGGTACTGGATACAGGATACTGGGTACTGGATACAGGGTACTGGATACAGGGTACAGGGTACTGGGTACTGGGTACAGGGTACTGGATACAGGGTACTGGGTACTGGGTACAGGGTACTGGGTACTGGGTACTGGGTACTGGGTACAGGGTACAGGGTATATACGTCACATCTTAAGTTAGCCAATGTTAGCAAACACTAGCTAACACCAAGGACAGTTGTTGTTTTAATGAGAAATGTCTCAAAGCTTTGACATTGTTTCACATTGAAGGTGAGCTCTGGAGACTTGTTGACAACACAGTGTGTCTCATGAGATTGTAAACAAACCTGATAAACACATATTTTATGATATTATATAACCACTCACCTGGAAAGGAAATCAAAAGCTAAAGAGATGGTAGTGACGGCAGGAATGTGGATTGACAAGAACAGCTGAAACAAACGGTTCGGAGGAATAACTTTAATGTTTCTCTGCAGCGTCGGGGCTTTAGTCCTCAGCTGTCTGTCTGTGCAGGGTCCAACCTCAGTGTCTGAGTCTGCGGGGCCACATGAGGACTTACAGATACAGAGGCTAGCTGCGTGGCTAACTGTGGATGTCTGCTGTAGACAAACACTTCCTGTGAGGATTGGAGATGAATATTTGATTGAGTCCCGCTGTGGGAGGTGCAGAGCGTTGTGTGTAAACAGCTGATATTGTGTAATTTGGATTACGGCTGAACAGAAAGAAGGTTAAAGGTCAAAGCAGAGTGCTGTTCATTGACACCGTCGTTCTCCTCTGTCCGTGTGTCCGTGAGTCTGTCTCACTCTCGGACAGACAGACAGACAGACAGACAGACAGACAGACAGACAGACAGGACTTTGTGTGTGAAACCACCTGACCTGCACGATGACATCATAGTGCGGTGGACGCGGACGCTTCGTTTGTTTATTTCTGCAGGAGCTTCCTGTGCGCGGCGTCCCTGTTGTCACCGCGCTCATTCAGGTCGGTTCAGGAGGAGGAACACACACACACACACACACACAGCAGAGGAAGTGTGTGTACCAAACCAACCACATGTTAGTCCGCCTCTCAATACCGTCTCACTTCCTGTTGTCTCTGAGCTGATTGGTTCCTGATCATTAGTTTCTCCTGAGTGCAGAGGTTCCCTCGCAGTCGATGCTCAGACCTCCAGTGTGAGCTTTGTCTTCAGTGTCATGTGTCTGTTTTGGGGTTGTTCAGATCAAACTGGGATCATTATAAATCACAGTCAATACGACCAGCTCTGGTTCTTCCTTTGTTCTTACTGTTAACAGTTAGTCTGAAAAACCACTCAAAGAGTTCATCTGCTGGGGACTATTTTCAGCGGCGGATGAATCCACATTTGGTGCTGTAGTGAGCTGCATTACGTGTACAGAGAGTTTTATTAGGGACGGTTCGGTGTGTAACATCGATCTGTTGTCAGATATTTATACCTCACTTATATCACCTGACTGTAGGAAGCATCGGGTTTTAGCTGGTTCGAATCTGTATCTTCACTGCTAGATGCACTGATTTTCTCTCATCATCTCAACTATTTAAAATGAGTTCATTGTTTAACTGACGGTGAAGTTGTGATTTATTGAACGTATATCTCGTTCAAGAAACTCTGAGATGATGCAGAAAAAATAGTTCCTTTATGCACAAATCTGCTCTCCTTGCTGTGAACTGTGTCTCCATATGTCGTTCTTTTTAAAAGGTGTGTCCTCACACGGCTTTATTATAACTGTACTATTCATATCAGATCAATAATGGGAGCTGGGAGCTTTGATCAATGCTGCACACAGTTACTGCTGATCAGGACTCAGATAGTCGGGTCGTCTCTATTGTGTTTATTACAGACACACACACTCTGACTCACTCACACACACACACACACACACACACAGTAACTGTGTCTGACGAGGTGATTTCCCAGCAGAACAGGACTGTGTGTTTAAAGGCCAGGGGCGGGGGCGTTCGACATACATACATACTGAAAGAGAGAGAGGAGATAAAAGAAAGAAAAGCGGGAGAGAGAGAGGGAGAGAGAGACAATAGAGCGAGAACAGAGAGGAATGAAAGACAACGACTGCAGGACGTTGGGAGCAGGAAGACAGAGGTGAAAGACAGCTGTGGTTTCCATGGCGATGAGGAAACACATAACAGAGGACAGGAATGTAAAGAGAGAGAGAGAGAGAGCGGAGAGGAAATAAGTGGAAACATGAAAGAAAGAGAGGAAGAGAGAGGGGAAAGAATGAAGGGAGGAGGAGATTCAGGGAGAACAGTAATGAAAGGAAAAAGACAGAAAGAGAGAGAGAATGTGCAGCAGTGCTCGAACGCCCAGGATGAGTTAGAGGAGAGAGAGGTAGAGGAGAAAGAAATAATAAGAGAGAGAGAGGAGGTCTGGGGAAGAATGAAAGAAAAACAATAGCAAAGAAAGGAGGAAAAGAGGAGGAATAAGAGAGAATTAAATTGTATGAAAGCAAAGGAAAAGAGCAAAGGAGGGAAGGTGAGAAGGAAACATTAAAGGAAACAAGAGAGAAAAAAGGATGAGAGGAAAATGCACGAGTGGAAAAAAGGAGGATGAAGAAAAAAAGAGCGGGAAAGAGAAACCGAGCTCGTAAAATGACGGAGGAGCGCTGGAAAGGAGAGGAGGAGAAAAGTGGTTCGACCATAAAGAGACGGATGATGGAGGGAATAGTTTATATGTTAACTCATAAAAATCAAACACAAATAAAAACAAACAATAATAATAAACAAAATAAACCAATAAACTAGAATCTAATCACTGATTTTTAATTCATCTTTTAATGTAAGATTTAATAATTTATAAATTAAAAATATAATATTTTAACATTTAAATCAATGAAAATGAACGATTAGTATTTTATCTGTTATTTGTCTGTTAAAACAAAACAAAGAAAATAATAATACAACCATAATGTTCTAATAATTGATAAAAGGAGGGATGGAGAGAGAGAGAAAGAGGAAGATAAACAATGTGAATGATTTCCTTTCCTTAAAACAGAAAATATGAGACATCCTGACTTTTAGTCCAAAAACACTGACTACGTTTCCCATAATGCACCTAGATAGAGTCTGCTGAACGTCTGACCTTCAGGTGTAAAATCTGTGCTGTTGAATTTATTTTGAGGTTGTTGTTATTTTTCTGCCTCTGTCTGACTCTGCTCTCTGACTGGCTGCCCTCAGGTGGGGTGGGCGGAGCTGAGCGATGGCGGGCGCGTCGGTGAAGGTGGCGGTGCGAGTCCGCCCGTTCAACTCCCGAGAGACGGGACGCAACGCCAAGTGTGTGATCCAGATGCAGGGAAACACCACCTGTAAGTGCACACACACACACACAGACACACACACACCTATACATTCCTACATTACTAACAGGGGACTGTCGTACTACCCTATCCAACAGGGGACTGATGTTTCTTGTTATTTAAGAAAAATAAAAATAGCATAGAAACATTTCTTTTAAGGTTTTTTACCAGAATGTTACTTCAAATGTAATTTTTTTTTTTTTTAAAGACATTGCTAAGAGGGGACCTTTTTCCATTAGCGATGTCTACCTATCAAAGAGGGGACCTCCATATACTGCAATGGAACTGCCTCTACCCATTCTTTCCTGATTCTTGATCAATATCTGTGAGTCTGAACACAGCGTACAAACAGGAGTTGGCGTGCTCGTGCCTGTTCAACCGCAGTTTAATGTGGAACCGGTTGTCGGTTTCCATCCGTAATATTTGTTCAGTTTCAGATATTCTGACCCAAACTCTGCTCGTCCCGTCTGTGCTCGTCATTATAACTTAGGAGGTTTAACCCGACGCCGCTCGGTCGAGAGCGCAGAGCGGCGGACACTGAACACACTTCCTCACCGCCATGACTTCCTGTTGACGTCAGTGTTTTCAGGGTTCTCATGTGTCCTGGAAAACCTGGAAATTAATAGACTAGGTTCATATAAACACCTGAAAACTGACAGCTGCAGGTTCGAGCCCCACCCACTGTGGTTTACTGTACGTGTAACAAACACTTTAACTTTCAACAGGCTGATCGGTGAGAAGATAAAATCAGTTCAGTTTGAACTGGTACTTGGGGCCTCAGTCATGTTACTGTTAGAGGAAACCGTAAACTCAGTGGAGAGGACACAGCGGGGACATCTGAGTGTCTCATAAACCCTGCGTCAATAAAAAGAGTTAATGTGTCAATACCAGACCTCCCAGTAAATGATATGATGGTTTGAATAACATGGTGACATTGATAAGAGGAGGAGATACTACTACTACAGACCCAGCATTGTATCAGTATAATCAGTGTCTGATCAATATTCACAGGAAATAATCGATGTTCACTGTTTGGGCTCATTGATCAGTTTATCAGCTGTTCTCTGCTGTTGATATTATTGAATATAATCTGAAGTTTACTCAGTGACAGTAAAGGGCTCCCTGAAGGAAAAAGGTTGGGAAGCACTGGATAATACACTGACTGTGGATAAATACCTTTGTTCTGCTTTTAAAACGAAGCAAACAGGATAAAATAATGTTGATTGTTTGCTTGTGAATGTCGTTAAAGTGTGGAAGACTTAAAGAAACCATCGTCACTGTCTCTATGTGAACATTTCAGTCTGTATCAGTTACATTCTGACGGATGATTTCAGTCTCTGAAAGGCTCCTTCCTTCAGTTTGCATGTGGTAAAACAGGCCTCAGCAATCCCAGAATGCTTCTGCCCATCACGTGACCTCTGAACCGCTCAGAGGTTATTTATAGACGTTTTCTGTTCGGCTCGTCTGTTTTTAGCAGCCGTCTGAACTCACGTCCACTCAGATATTCACACAGCGAACGCGGTAACGATGGAACGTGTCTCTGTGGACGTTGAGCACATTTCAACCCCGTCGGGTATTAAAGGTCCGATAAAGTCCCCTCTCTCCTTCCAGGTATCTCCAACCCCAAACAACCCAAAGATGGAGCCAAGAACTTCACCTTCGACTATTCCTACTGGTCCCACACCACGGTAACCTCACACACACACACACACACACACACACACACACACACACACACACACAGAGAACCAGTCATCAGATCACCCAGCGACAGTAACGATAACCAGAAGTGTGTGTGTGTGTGTGTGTGTGTCTGCAGGCTGATGACCCGAGCTTTGCGTGTCAGAGGCAGGTGTACAAGGACATCGGAGAGGAGATGCTGCTGCACGCCTTCGAAGGTAAACCGGTGACCAACGTTAGTTCACCTTCTCACCTTGCTGCAGTGTTGTAGAGCTGCAACAATTAGATGATTAGTACATTTGTTATTTAACATTGTTTAATTTTGATAATCTATTAATTGTTTTTTTGTGTCTTTTTAAAAAAAATAAAAGTCAAAGTTCTCTGATTTCAACTCCTCAAATGTGAATATTCTGAGGTGTCTTCAGGCGTCTGTGCCAGTGAACTGAATTTGTTTGTGTTGACAACGTCAGCTTCGGCTTTGGGAATCACAGTACAACAAGTTTCTGACATTTTATGGACCAAACAACGAATCGTTTCCAGTTTTCACTTTGAGATTAAATCTGTGAAACATGATGTGTGAGTTAGTCCGACAGGAAGCAGATCCATCAGGATTATTAACAGATATCACTGGATACTATCGATCGTTGAGGATCAGTTTGTGTCTTCAGTTCTAAAATGATTAATATTATTATTGTTGTTGTTTTCCAGGATACAATGTGTGTATTTTTGCATACGGACAGACGGGTGCAGGAAAGAGCTACACCATGATGGGCAAACAGGAGCCTGGACAGGAAGGGATCATACCACAGGTAAACACACTGACGGACTGCAGGTGGATTTAAAGCTGCAGATATCAGTTAATGAAGCAATCTATTATTCTATTGAAGTTATTCCAGCCCTCCCCTTTAGGGAAGGTGGAGTCTGGTGGGTTAGCTGTAGGCAGTGAGTGTTTCCTGGTGTGTGAGGGGCGGTAACGTTACTGTAGTCAGCCATAAAGAGTGTGGATAAGTTCAGGTTGCAGTGTTATAGTTACTGAAAAGCTGTGTGTGTGTTTGCTGCCACAGAAAAGAAATAAAAGTCTGTGTTTATGTAACGTTAACGTTCCTACGGTGTCTTCTTGTACTGAGTAGGTCCAGACTGTTGACAGCTAGTCAGCTAGTTAGCATGTACGAGGCAAGGTAAAGACAATTAAAACAGCCTAAACCAAAGATACATTTCAGAGCTGGAAGCTGCAAAGCTGGAAGCTGCTTGCAATCAGAATATTGATCCTGCAGATAAACTGTGACTTATAGCTGCTAACGAGCTAGAGTTATTGTGCTAGGCTAGTTCGGTTTAAAACAGACACTGTATAGAGTTTTCATTGTGTGTCTGTTTGAAATCAAAGTCAAAGTCAGCTTTATTGTTCATTCAATTTCACAACAGACAAGACATTTACTAATGCTAAAAAGATAAAAAAAAAAAAGATAGACAATAAAATATAAAATATCTATCTTTTTATCTTTAAGCATTAGTAAATGTCTTGTCTGTTGTGCCTGTGCACTTTATCTGTTTCACTGTGGGAGAGAGAGAAACGTCCCCTCGATTACTTTATATGTCTGGTGTATGTGAACCTGAACACTTTCTGTTGCTCTCTGTGACCCGTCTCCGCCCTGGTTGGATTTATGCCTCTGTGTCTGAGTTTGTCTCTCCGTTCATAACTCGTGTTTATTTAACATTAATGAAGGCAAACACAAGATCCTGAAATACAGCTAACCTGTAGAGGATGAGAACACGATGTATAAAAGCTTGTTTGCATTGTGGTCGGATGGCAGAACCAGCTTGAACAATAATGTGTCTGTTTTTCATTCATTTTGTTCTTGTAATTATGAGCCAATAAGTCGTTAACTTAGAGAAACAGAGCAGCATCATTAACGTGGAATTGAACTAAAGCGTAGAGGATTCTGGTTTCTTCTTCCCGCTTCGTGTTGGGACCATTAAACCTAAAGCCGCCCTGCAGATTAGACACAGATTTTATGTGCGGTTGCATTTTTGAGAAAGCACAGCTGGACTTTTGGAAGATGATGATGCAGAATCATAAATCCACCTTTAATGTTATTTGATCAGTGAATAATCTGATGGATGGTCCTCTGTCTCTCTCTGTCTCTCTCTGTCTTTCTGTCTCTCTGTCTCTCTCTCTCTCTCTCTCTGTCTTTCTGTCTCTCTGTCTCTCTCTGTCTCTCTGTCTCAAGCTGTGTGAGGACTTGTTTCAGAGAACCGGAGAAAACACTGATCCTGACCTGACCTACTCTGTGGAGGTAAACTCTCTCCGATCCGTTCATTCAAACTGATTCATTCCAGTGACCGTGGATTGGCTGATCGCTGTCTCCTCCTCCTCCTCCAGGTGTCCTACATGGAGATCTACTGCGAGCGGGTCCGGGATCTGTTAAACCCAAAGTCCCAGGGGACTCTGCGGGTCCGGGAGCATCCCATCCTGGGTCCTTACGTGGAGGATCTGTCCAAACTGGCTGTGACCGGATTCTGTGACATCCGTGACCTGATGGACGCCGGCAACAAAGCTCGGTCAGTCTTCACACATTATCCAGATATTAAAGACAAAACTAGAAAGAGGCTGCTGTTCCTGAAGGTCCAGGACTGTAGCCTGCCCCAGGTAGCAGACCGTAGCCCGCCCCAGGTAACGGACCGTAGCCCGCCCCAGGTAGCGGACCGTAGCCCGCCCCAGGTAGCGGACCGTAGCCCGCCCCAGGTAGCGGACCGTAGCCCGCCCCAGGTAACGGACTGTAGCCTGCCCTGACGGTGGGTCATGCTGGGGCCTGAAGGCAGTCTGTCAGTGATTGATTATTTATACCTGACTGGTTATTGATTACAGGACGGTTGCGGCCACAAACATGAATGAGACGTCGTCCAGGTCACACGCTGTCTTCACCATCGTCTTCACCCAGAAACGACGAGACCAGATGACCAGCCTGGACACTGAGAAGGTGTGTGCTGGTTCTGTCCTTGTGAGGACTCGGTGTCCTTGTGAGGACCGAGCTACTTTATTATGTTATGTTGCAGTGTTGTTTGTAATCAGGATTTTAGATTTGGACTTAACGATGAAACTGTCTTCAGGTCAGCAAGATCAGTCTGGTCGACCTGGCTGGAAGCGAGCGAGCAGACTCCTCGGGGGCAAAGGGCATGCGACTCAAGGTCAGAGGTCACACACTGGTGTTGGCTTAATTAAAGTCTCATCAGTGTTTATCGAGATTGACTTATGTGTTCCTGTTTACTGTATGCTGACTTTACTTTGCTGTATATTTGCGTGCAGGAAGGAGCAAACATCAATAAATCTCTGACCACATTGGGAAAAGTCATATCAGCTTTGGCTGAAATGGTAGGTCAACACAAACGTGATATTTATGCCAAATCAGATCAGAAAATACACAAAGAATGACTCCCCTTCTTCTGTCCTCTGCAGCAGAGTAACAAGAAGAGGAAAAGTGATTTTATTCCCTACAGAGACTCTGTTCTCACCTGGCTACTGAAAGAAAACCTGGGTAAGTGCGACTAGTATTCAGACCAGTAGCTTAGAGCGTATATGTGTAGGCAAATCCTGAAGTTATAAACTATAAACCAACTACAACACGGTCGCAAGACTTCACCACCTCTAAACTTCCAACTTGTGATTAAATCTTGTGATTAAAGTTTGAGTTAGAATAGTTTACAAGAGTGCGAGTATAAACACAACCAGGATGTAAAGGTGGACTAGTGAGTGCAGAAGTATGTGTTTTAATGTCAATGACACCTTGTTAGAGACCGCCTTTTATTAGACATTTAAAAGCTTTCAGTATTCACAGTTGGGGTATTTACTGACGTATTTTGTCGTAGAACAAAAAGTGAAAATCTAACAAAAAAGACAGGATAAAACTGCAAATAGATATTGAATTTCTGGATAACTTCACCCAACTTGTAGATAGTAAACAATGAAGGGCTAAAAACAGACCCCTGGGGAACGCCGTAGGCGGTGTTTGACATTCCCAGCTGATACAGGAAAAAGTTCTTCCACTCAGGTAAGACGTAACCAGTCTGGAGAACTACTGGTGATAACCTAAGGGCTGAGAGAACCACTGTTGGTGATAACAAGTTTTAATGTGTGTGTGCTTCAGGAGGAAACTCTCGGACAGCCATGATTGCTGCTCTAAGTCCTGCTGACATCAACTATGAAGAAACACTGAGCACTCTGAGGTCAGATATTGATCTAATGCTATCTGCGTACGATAAATAAAACCATTTTAATCTGATCTAACCAAAGCACCATGCGGTTCCAGGTATGCTGACCGTGCCAAACAGATCCGCTGTAACGCTGTGATCAATGAAGATCCAAACGCCAAACTGATCAGAGAGCTGAAGTCTGAAGTGGAACGACTGAGAAACCTGCTGTTCTCCCAGGGCCTACAGGAGCTGCTGGACAACGCTGGTAAATACTCACCTTCTACAGTGAACATGTGCTGAGTGTACTCCTCATAATACAAACATTATATAGAGTATAATTATATATACATACATTATATAGAGTATAATTATATATACAAACATTATATAAAGTATAATTATATATACAAACATTATATAGAGTATAATTATATATACAAACATTATATAGAGTATAATTATATATATACATTATATAGAGTATAATTATATGTATACATACATTATATAGAGTATAATTATATATATATACATTATATAGAGTATAATTATATGTATACATACATTATATAGAGTATAATTATATATATACATTATATAGAGTATAATTATATATATATATACATTATATAGAGTATAATTATATATATACACATTATATAGATTAAAGTATAACAGCCTGGTACACATTACAGTAAATGGGAGAGATGAACACCACTAATATAAACACTATTCTGTCTGTATTAGTGTCTATAGTCATGATATTATACATAACATATAAACAAGGTAACGTATTTTATAATGATTTTACAATCTCACCTTTGAGCCAATCACGTGCCGGCTACCTCTCTTCAGCAATCAGTTGCTACCAGATGTAGCCGGTTAGCTCCGGTTAGCTACAGCAACAACGCTGACATGTACAAGCAACACGGCCCTGGTGAACAATGTATTTTTGGGTAGCGTGTGCGGTTATTTAGACGCGGTATGCGCGGCATGTCTATGTGCAGAATGTTTACAGGCGTTATTTACAGACAACAGCAACTGTGTGTGTGTGTGTGTGTGTGTGTGTGTGTGTGTGTGTGTGTGTGTAAGCAGATATTTACAAGCTGTTCTTTACATAACCAACATTGCACAGATTCCGACTTGTTAAAAATGAAACCTGATCCCTCTCTCTCTCTCTCTCTCTCTCTCTCTCTCTCTCTCTCTCTCTCTCTTAAAGTCAACAACAACAACAATGGCCCCGGTGGTGTCGCAGGTGTCCCCCCCTCCCCGCTGCAGCTGGCAATCACAGCCAATGGGATTGTCACACCTGAGAATGGCTCCGCCCCTCCAGGTGTGTGTGTATTTTTGCCTTTTTATTGATTATTTATGGTACACAAACTTTCATGTTGTAGTCACAGTATTGAGACAAAGAAGAACCTAAAGAAACAGCGATTTACTGTTAAACACTGGTGAAAACATACATATACTGTAATTTATGTTCCTGTTTGTCACTGTTTCATCCTGACTCACTGTCACTGTCTTTACCTCCTGTCTCTGTGTCTCTCTGAATGTCCTCTTTACCTCCTGTCTCTGTGTCTCTCTGTCTCTCCTCTTTACCTCCTGTCTCTGTGTCTCTCTGTCTCTCCTCTTTACCTCCTGTCTCTGTGTCTCTCTGTCTCTCCTCTTTACCTCCTGTCTCTGTGTCTCTCTGTCTCTCCTCTTTACCTCCTGTCTCTGTGTCTCTCTGTCTCTCCTCTTTACCTCCTGTCTCTGTGTCTCTCTGTCTCTCCTCTTTACCTCCTGTCTCTGTGTCTCTCTGAATGTCCTCTTTACCTCCTGTCTCTGTGTCTCTCTGTCTCTCCTCTTTACCTCCTGTCTCTGTGTCTCTCTGTCTCTCCTCTTTACCTCCTGTCTCTGTGTCTCTCTGAATGTCCTCTTTACCTCCTGTCTCTGTGTCTCTCTGAATGTCCTCTTTACCTCCTGTCTCTGTGTCTCTCTGTCTCTCCTCTTTACCTCCTGTCTCTGTGTCTCTCTGAATGTCCTCTTTACCTCCAGGTGCCGAGCCGACCTCTACAGGTGAGGCACCCGCTGACCCTGACCACCTGATCGAGGACGGAGAGGACGGAGAGGAGGCGGACTCTGCGGACTCTGCGGAGCCCATCAGTAAAGAGGAGGCAGCTGAGATGCTGTTGGTACGATCACACTTTGATGCTCCTGATGCCGGACTCTTGAATCCGGCTCGGACACTGACAAGGCCTCTGTGTGTGTGTGTGTGTGTGTGTGTGTGTGTGTGTGTGTGTGTGTGTGTGTTGCAGGAAACAGAGAAGATCATCGCGGAGCTCAACGAGACGTGGGAAGAGAAACTAAGAAAGACAGAATCTATTCGACTGGAGAGGTAACGTCTCTAACTCACTGCAGTCTTTGTGCTTTAATTTAAGTTCTGGTTCTTGGATTCAAAAGTCTGTGGAATGAAAAAGAGTTGAAGGCGAGAGAGGACGAAGGGCGGGACTTAATGAATAATGTCAATAATGAAACATCTCTCTCTCTTTTTCCCTGTGTGTGTCTGTGTCTCTCGCCCAGAGAGTCCCTGCTGGCAGAGATGGGCGTGTCCATTAAAGAAGATGGAGGAACGCTGGGCGTCTTCTCTCCCAAAGGAGTGAGTTTACACGCGTCTCGGACAGCCAGTGTCGTCATGACGACCGCTGATTTAAAGTTTGAAATAGCATTTACATGTTTATGCAAATAACTGTATTTACCAAAGTTACGTATGCAAACAGGGATTGAAGCTCATATTCAAATGTACAAATGTGGCGTTAAGACTGTCGGTGAACATCGACGAGCCTGAAACAATACACAGAGTTTATGACGTTAACTCTCCCCGGCTGTAATTATACAATTGGACTGGATCTAATGAATGTCTCAGATATTGTTCATTGTTCATTGTTCATCGTCGGATTCCAATAAAGCTTTTGAACCGTCCTGCAGACGCCTCACCTGGTCAACCTGAATGAAGACCCTCTGATGTCAGAGTGTCTCCTCTACTACATCAAGGAGGGGCTCACCAGGTCAGAGCTTCACCCATGTTTACATCATTATAACCTCACAGTTAGGGAGCCCTGTGTGTGTGTGTGTGTGTGTGTGTGTGTGTGTGTGTGTGTGTGTGTGTGTGTGTGTTCTGCATTAACAGACAGTCGGTGTGAATCCTGACGGGATGTTTGTCCGTCTGTGTTTCAGGGTTGGACAGCAGGACGTGGACATTAAGCTGTCGGGTCACTTCATTAAAGAGATCCACTGTGTGTTTGTCAGTGAGCTCAACGACCAGGGAGAAGGTGAGACACCCACCTGTCTGTCTGTCTGTCTGTCTGTCTGCCTGTGTGAACCTGGAGTTAGAGACGTTGGTCATGCTGTTGGTGACTCGGGGTCGCTGTGCTCCGTCTGATTGGCTGAAACAGTTTGTTTAGTGTTTATAGTTCAATCAGCTGATTTCTGTCAGAAGGAGACAGGAGCAGCACACAGAGAGGAAACAGTCTTTGTCCTGTTGTCCTCCTCTCAGTGAGTGGGGTTAGATCGCCCTCTGGTGGTCAGAGATGTCTTTAACATGGATTATATGAACTTCCTCAGTCTTACACAAACTGCACGTTGTATTTATGTTCTTAAATAAATAATATAATAATATATAAATATAAATACAGAAATAAGAAAATATAAGATAAAAACACTGTCTTCATCTGAATGAAATGAAACTTTGTATGTTAGTTTGATACAGATCTGTAGCTCAGACCTCCATGATGGACCCACAGGAACATTCATTATAAAGCTGTTCACACTGTGTGATGGATGGAGCAGCGTCTTCATAGAAATATTAGTGTCAGAAACTCCTTCCTGCTGCTCACACTGAACACTGTCCACCCCCAGGAGGTTTTATACAGAGACATTTCCAATAAAGTTTATTCAAACAGGACAGCTGTATGTATATATATATATATTAGTGCTGCCAAACGATTCAAATATTTAATGGCGATTAATCGCATTAATGTCATAGTTCACTCGCAATTAATTGCACATTTTTATCTATTCTAAATGTCCCTTGATTTCTTTTTGTCCCATTATGTTTTCTCATTTTAATGCTCTTATCAACATGGAAAAGTGGATCGGCTTGCTTTGTGCAAATGTTTTTTTATTGAAAAATCATCCATTGTCGCCTGGCTTTGACGAGGGGGAGGAGAATTCCCATCAGCTGTGTGCTCGGCCATCAAGTGGTATTTCAGACTGGACGTGCTGCGGTGATAGCTCAGTTCACAACGACAAAACACACAGATCACTTTGGTCTTGTCAATGGAACCATTTGGAAACTTTTTAAAAGTAAACTTTCCATTCAGAATATTATTGGCATCCATTTCGGCGTCTCGCGCTCGCCATCCACTCAAAACGTAACGTCTTGACTCTTAAACAAGTGTGTGTGGCGTGCCTGTTGTTTTGTTTCCAGTCTAGCTAGATCCGGTGTGGTGTTGTAGTTTTTCTAACGTTACTAGTTGTTGCAACAGCATGTGAAAAAAACTACAAAGTGTGCTAGGCCAAAAAGAACGTTAATCTCACGATAAAAAAATTGCCGCCATTAAAATGGGTTTGCGTTAACGCTGTTAATAACGCGTTTAACTGACAGCACTAGTATATAGATACACACAGACAGTAGCTGTTAATACTTCTTTTAATCAAACATGAAGCACAAATAACATCCTTCAGTGCTCCTCTCTCCTCCTGTTTCATGTTAATGAACCAGATAATAATCCTGCGAGTGTGAGAGGAAATATTGATTTACATTAAAGATGAACTGCTTTCATTCAGCGGTAGCTCCGACTGTAACCAGTCTCCACAGCGCGGTCGGAGCTTGTGATCAATACAGTCATGTGATACAGAGACAACATATTATTTCTGTGTGTGTGTGTGTGTGTGTGTGTGTGTGTGTGTGTGTGTGTGTGTGTGTGTGTTCAGTGAGTGACTCTTTCTTTTTCTCTCTCTATAAAAGCTGCCAGGAAATCTGTCAGGTATCGTCTTAACAGTCGGTGTTACTAGTTACCATGGTGACGTCACTTTCATCATATTCATTGTTTCCTGTGCCCCTCCACCCTCACCCCTCCACCTACGACCCCCCCATACTCTCCCCCCTCTGTGTATGTGTGTGTGTGTGACTGTGAACCCATCCATTGTGTCGCAGTGTGCTCTCAGCGTACAGATGTGACCCAGCTGTGTGTTCTCTCTGCAGTCGTCGTCACTCTGGAGCCGTTAATCGGAGCCGAGACGTACGTTAACGGGAAGCAGATCACCGACGCCGTTGTCCTCAAACAAGGTGCGGACGCCCGGGACTCAAACCAGCAACCTACACGTGAGCACACAGAGGGTCTGCGGACTATAAATGACGTGTTTACCCCCCTGTCTCCGTTGCTAGGCAACCGCATCGTGATGGGGAAGAACCACGTGTTTCGGTTCAACCACCCGGAGCAGGCGAGGCTGGAGAGAGAGCGCAGCGTCACGGCCGACCAGCAGGGGGAGCCCGAGGACTGGAACTACGCTCAGAAGGAGCTGCTGGAGAAACAGGGCATCGACATCAAACTGGAGATGGAGAAGAGGTGGAGATCAATATTAATCAATAATGTCTAATCAATAATCTATCTTCAGGATCAATTAGAGGAAAAGTTCTCAAAGTTATTGTCAGCTGCAGATTTAAAGAGACAGACAGAGAGAGAAATAGGTTTCTGTGTCGGACTGATGTACTGGTTGATTGATTGATTGGTTGATTGATTGATTGACTGATTGGTTGATTGATTGATTGATTGATTGATTGATTGATTGATTGATTGATTGATTGGTTGGTGTGTGTTCCAGACTACAGGACATGGAGATTCAGTACCGTAAAGAGAAGGAGGAGGCAGATCTGCTGCTGGAGCAACACAGACTGGTGGGTGTCTGTTAGCTGATTGTAGCAGTTTGACCCGGGAGCTAACGGTTGATTTCCAATAATCAATAATCAATGTGTGTGCTCAGTATGCAGACAGCGACAGCGGTGACGACTCAGACAAACGCTCGTGTGAGGAGAGCTGGAGGCTGATCTCCTCCCTCAGAGAGAAACTTCCTGCCAACAAGGTACACACCTGTCTGTCTCACCTGTCTGTCTCACCTGTCTGCCTCATCTGTCTGTCTCACCTGTCTGCCTCACCTGTCTGTCTCACCTGCCTGTCTCACCCGTCTGTCTCACCTGCCTGTCTCACCTGTCTCCAGGTGCAGTCCATAGTGAAGCGCTGTGGTCTGCCCAGCAGTGGGAAGAGGAGGGAGCCTCTCAGAGTCTATCAGATCCCTCAGAGGAGGAGGATCAGCAAAGACCCCAAACGGGTCACCATGGAAGACCTCCGCATGCAGGCCGTCAAAGAGATCTGCTACGAGGTTAACACACACACACACACACACACACACAACATTTTGGGAAATACTTTCAGAGATCCAGTTGTTCAAATGGAGTCAGGACCTGGTTAGCTTAGCTTAGCATAAAGACTGGAAACAGAGGGAAACAGCTAGCCTGGTAACAGTTTTATTTTGGGGGATAATAAAGGGGATTCAGAGTTCAGTATAATCAGTTGAACAGGAGCAACAGATAACCTTTAAAGAGAACTACGTCTGTTCTCGGGAGGAGCAGTGTGAGCAGCAGTGTTTGTATGTTAACCCCCCCCTGTGTCGCCCTCAGGTGGCTCTGGGAGACTTCCGTCACTCCCGCCAGGAGATCGAAGCTCTGTCCATCGTCAAGATGAAGGAACTCTGTCGCATGTACGCCAAGAAAGACTCCAACGAGAGGGAGAGCTGGAGGGCCGTGGCCCAGGACGTCTGCGATACCGTGGGCATCGGAGAGGAGAGGAGCCCCCCCGCAGAGGAGGGAGGAGGAGGAGGAGGAGGAGGAGGGGGAGAGACGGGGGAGGGAGGACAGAAGAAGAACGTGTATGACCTGAAGGCTCACATTGATAAACTGACTGACATCCTGGAGGTGAGTTTCAGAGTAAAAGCACGATGCTGTTAAAAGGAGCAGGCTGATAGAATAAATGTCTCCTCCTCTTCCTCCTCTTCCTCTTCCTCTTCCTCCTCGTCCTCCTCCTCTTCCTCCTCTTCCTCTTCCTCTTCCTCTTCCTCTTCCTCTTCCTCTTCCTCCTCTTCCTCTTCCTCCTCCTCTTCCTCCTCCTCTTCCTCCTCTTCCTCTTCCTCTTCCTCCTCCTCTTCCTCTTCCTCCTCCTCTTCCTCCTCTTCCTCCTCCTCTTTCTCCTCTTCCTCTTCCTCTTCCTCTTCCTCCTCGTCCTCCTCTTCCTCCTCCAGGAGGTGAAGTTGCAGAACAACATGAAGGACGAGGAGATCAAAGCTCTGAGAGACAGAATGATCAAGATGGAGAGCATCATACCTGTTCAGGTACGTTCACCCCTCAGGTCTAGGTTCAGGTCCAGTTCAGGTCCAGGTCCAGGTCTAGGTTCAGGTCCAGTTCAGGTCCAGGTCCAGGTTCAGGTCCAGGTCAAGGTTCAGGTCCAGTTCAGGTCCAGGTCCAGGTCCAGTTCAGGTCCAGGTCCAGTTCAGGTCCAGGTTCAGGTCCAGGTCCAGGTCCAGGTCCAGGTCCAGGTCCAGTTCAGGTCCAGGTCCAGTTCAGGTCCAGGTTCAGGTCCAGGTCTAGGTCCAGTTCAGGTACAGGTTCAGGTACCGGTCCGTCAGCCAGATCTTTGACTCTGATTATCTCTCGTTTCCAGGACGATGACGTGAACGGCGAAGAGGACGGCGAGCCTCAGATGGACGGGGGCGGGGCCGGCGACACCCCCCGCCAGCCGGAGGTCAGAGTGAAGCGGCTGATGGACGAGGACCCGGCGTTCAGGAGAGGACGCCTCCGCTGGCTGAAACAGGAACAGCAGCGGATCCTGAACCTGCAGCAGCAGAACATCACCAAGAAACTACGAGGACAGAACCAGAACCAGAACCAGGGTGAGTCTCCAGGTCAACCTTTGACCCTGAAACAGGAAGTGTTGTTCAGGCGCCTGACTGATGTGTCTCCCCCCTCCTGCAGGCCAGAACTCCCCCGTTGTCCCCGTTCATCTCCCCGGGACCGGCCGCTTCATCCCTCCCCAGGAGTGCAAGCTCAAGTTCCCCTTCAAGAGTAACCCCGCCCACCGGTTGTCATGGGGACCAGCCAGCGCCGCCCTGCAGGCTCTGGGTCTGGGGGAGGGAGGAGGAGACGGGGGAGAGCCAAGGGAGGAGGGAGGAGGAGTACTGGAGGGTAAAGGCTCTCCCTCACCTCCTCCTCCACCTCTTCAGGGTCAGTCTCCCGGTCTCCTGCCCCTCCCCTTCCAGCCTCCGCCCCCTCGCATGCGCACCCCCAGCCCTCATCGCGCCTGGCAACAGCGTAACCAAGGCAACCAGGGTAACCAGGGCGGCTTCTACTACCACCACCAGGGCAACAACCAAAACCAGCAGCGCCGCTACCGCCGCAACTCTCTGGACAGCTCCACCCACGGCAACAGTAACTATGACGGCGACCAGCATCACGGCGGCGGCGGTGGCGGTGGCGGTCACCAGGGGCGACCGAGACAGAGGAGGGGGGTGTCGCCCGGGCCAGGAGGGGAGAGGGGAGGGGGGAGAGGAGGAGGAGGAGGAGGAGGAGGAGGGAGGGACAGAGATGGAGGCTTCCACTATCATCAACACCAGCACCATCAGTACCATCACCATCCCTACTTCAACCCCCACAATGCACCATTCCAGCCAGGACCTCACCCCAACTACCACAGCCTGCCACGCTCCGGGGTCCCGCCCCCTCCTGCTGACATGCTGCTGGGGGTGGGGCCACCGCCGGGTGGGTGGGGCTTCACCACCCCGCCCAGGATGAGACGGCAGTTTAGCGCACCGGACCTCAAAAACAACAATAAGGAGACCCCCATCTGACCTCTGACCTCCGACACCAGGGTGGCCTCTGATTGGCTGCAGGACACAGCGCGGTCCTGATGCTGTAGAGAATGTGTGTGTGTGTGTGTGTGTGTGTGTGTGTGTGTGTGTGTGTGTGTGTGTGTGTGGCTTGCTCCTAGCCTTTACGTTAGCGTGGGTTAGCTGTTGCCATAGCGACACTGTTTTTAGGAGAAGCGGATCGTCAGGCTGTCAGACCGGATCGAAGTTTATCACGTTACTCTTTAGTTTGATTGATTTTATTGATCGCTGACGTTCTGGTTGCGATCAGTCGCTGATAACGAGGTGCCTTTTAAAGCTGACAGTGTTTAGCTCCCGGGGCTCGTTACTGTAGCAGAAGTGTTGTTCTACCTAAAGATGAAGTTACGTTGGACGAGACGGACTCGAGGTTTAGCTCCTCTGTTTTAGCCGCCGTTAGCCCAGGAGGCTAACTAGCCTGGTTCAGCCCTGAGAGGTCTGTGTTAGCTCGGGATAGCCTGGTTATCCTGAGCAGGGAGCGATGAGTGGCTGTTAGCATGTGGTGAAGAGCCGCACTTTAGCCCGGCCCAAGTTTTGCACAGGTGAAGGTATTAGCCTAGCATAGCACAGCCTAGCCTAGCCAGGGCAGCGTTCACGTTGTATGGGAGTTACAGTTAGTTTAACACACGCAGCGCTCTCTGGTGGACAAACACAGATACATCAGCCTTTACGTATAAGAAACAATAGTTTACTGGCACAAAGTCAAACAACAAGTTCTCTTAAAAATAAAAGATTTTATTGGGATATTAAAATAGTAATTAATTATGGATAATAAGAAAATGTCCTGGATCTTAAAGCGACCTCAAACACCTCAAACACCTCAAACACGTCCCCAACAGAAGAGAAACACTGAAATTAAGATGTGACTATATATATAATATATAATATATATATATATATATGTTGCTTTTATCTTCTAACCATCTTCATAATATCATTTCAACATAGATTAGCTTAGCATATAGCATATCTAAGTACAGGACGGGAGGCAAAAAGGGGCGGGGCTTAGGAAGGCTCTATTGACTGCCTGAAGCTCGTAGTTACCGTCTCTCCCATGTGACTTGAATGCTGCGTCGCTGAGTGCTACAAACCAAAGAAAGCTGCTCCGTGGCGCCTCCTGCAGGAGAGCAGAGAGCTGACAGACACACTGCTGTACAGACAGACAGACAGACAGACAGACGGTGTTTAGGAGGTGTGAGGAGAGGAGGAAGAGGAGGAGGTGTTGTTGTTGTTGTTGACTCTTTTTAAAGCGTTGTGTGTGTATATTTGAAGTGACTTTATTTTGTCTTGATGTTTTTATGAAGATGAATCTATTTTAAGCGACGCATGAAACCTTCACTGTCTCTGGCAATCGTGGGAAAACGTAGTAAGTGACACCTGACGTGTGATGCCTCATGGGAGATGTAGGAATACTGACTTATTTAAAACTGACATGGGAGACGTAGGAAAACATGATGGATTGTGGTGTATGTAGGGCCGTGCAAGCGAGGAACTCTGGGAAATGTAGTGTGAGACTGAGTGGGGGGGGGGGGGGAGAAGGAAGAGGGAGACACTTGAAGATATCTGAGATACAGTAAGCTTTGTGTTGGAACACTACGACGTGTGAAAGGATCTGACGATGTTTAGTTATCATTCAGTTGTGATGAGAAGAGACTGCTGCCTTCATGAGACGCCAGGAAGTTGGAAATAGTGACTTTTCCCCATCTGATGTTGCATTTAATGTCACTTTCCAATATAATGAGATATTTGTTGTAATGTTTGCAACACCAGAGCTTTACCATCAGTGTTCTATGATGATCAATGGTCCGATTCATAGATTATGGAAATAGTTGCTGAATAATAATGTTTGTTACGCTGTTGTGTTCACTGCACCGCGGAAATGTAGGAAGTTCTAATAACAACCACGGATTTCCAACTTCCCACGTCGAACTGAACGCACCCCGAATGACGCTGCGTTTACTGTCGGGAGGAGCTGGGAGTTGGCGGCACTGCCTAAACGTCCCCCCGCCCACACAGAGCAAGGCATTGTGGGAGATGACGAGTGGAGCATGTTTGCGCTCCGTGACTTTGAGACCTTTTCACTGAAGGTCGGAACCAGCCAATGGGAGCGCTCCCTCCGGCCACACCGCGGGAGGGAGTCGCCACGATGATGATGACAAAAAAAACCACAGAATTGATTGTGATTGGCCAGAGGAGCATGACATCAGCAGGATTTAACTTCCGCATTGTTTTGCTCTGCTGCCTCTGGAATCGACCAATCACGGGACAATCTCGATAACCTGCTGCCACCGCCGGGCTTGATGGGAAACGATGTTTCCTTTTTTGTTTGTTTGTTTTTTTATTTTATTTTTTAAAAACATTTTTTATGTCCAGTTTGGGCTTCTGATTGGCTGTTTTCTTTTTCTTTGTTTATTCATTTTCTTCTTGTCCTGAATATTTTAACCCCGCCTACACGTTCGACCTTTGCTTTGTGATGTCATCACGTCATCATCGCTGTTATTAATATAATTATATTAAAGCTCTAAGTGTCATTAATATTGGGTTCTTATGGATGCTGCTAAAGGGAGCGCCTTCGCCCTCATGCAACCGTCTGAGTGTGTCCGTGTGTGTGTCCGTGTGTGTGTCCGTGTGTGTGTCGTGTGTGTGTCTATGTGTGTGTGTTTGAGTGTGTTGGACGTCAGTGTGTGTGTGTGTGTGTGTGTGTGTGTGTGTGTGTGTTCCCGGGTTAATTTAGAATCATAATCTGAAGTTTGTTTTACTTTATAAAGCTGATTTTATTGTTTTGCTTCTAATCGTCTGTTGTAGTTTTGTTGTTGTTTTTGGAGGTTTGAGGAGGGGTCCGCCTGGGTGTGTGCGGGAAGCCGTTGCCATGGCAACCCGGCAGACCCCCCCCGGCAGAATTCCACATACGTTCTCAAACCCTCACCGACTGGCCCCACCCATTCCCCCGCACCTCTGCTCCAATCACAGCCTCAGAATCTGTGGCATCGCGGCATGATGTCACTTCAGGACACGGTGACATCATGGTGTAGCCCTCCTCCTATTGGCTCAGAGCCCCTCAGTTGTTTTTTTTCTGTCTGTTGTTGTTGTTTTTGTTGTATCAGGAACCAATCTCAGGCTCTACCTGCAGACAACATGATGGCAATAAACTGTCAATAAGAATGAAAACACGACTCACTTCCTGCTTTACTGTTACTGAACGCTACGGTGGCTGAGTTAGAACTAACCCCCACTAACACAGAGTCCTTTAAACGTCCCCCGTTTGTGAGCAAACGCTGTCTGTGTCAAGAAAAACTCCTGGAAAATGATTTCAATCAGCTCACACACTGCAGACAGTTGTTTTACAGAAGCAGAATTAATAAATCACCTCGTCACATCCTGGATCTACGGGTTTCATTAGGATGCGTTTGTCCGCGCGGTGGTCAACAGAGCACGAGGTCGATCAGATTTACTGATATTAAAATGAAGAAGACTCATATTGGAAGCTTATGTAAAGCTTATTAATAACACAAATAATGTGTGAATAAACATTTAATCTAATAACTGCTCTTCATAACGAAACCACTGAAGGACTTTCTGTGAACAGTTGTACATTTAAAGGTGAGCAGTGGAGCTTAACAAGGTTTGGAACATTTCTGAGTGCGTTAAATTAATTAATTAGATTGAGTTGACACCAACTTATTCATGACTGCAGCTTTTAATATCATATCTCTTAACAATAATCGTAATATACAAATAATAACATGAATAATTATAAAATATTGATGGTCACGATGTTAAAATAATTAAAGTTATTCGCTGAATGGTGATTTATAGTCCTACCTGTAGTATTTTAATGTGGTCTAATAAACATAATGCACATACATACAGAAGAACATGAAATGATTGTAAAAACAAAACGTCTCAACACAAAGTTCAAACTTATTTGAGTTTTCAAATTGAACAAATTTAGCACATGTGATGCTTTTTGTTCCACAGAACGTTACTGGCTCAGCAGCAGAGGTCACATACTCACATACACATACACTACTCAGGCCTCAACAGAAACAGCAGCAGCACTGGAGAGTAATCAATTACAGTATCATCATGAATACATCTCTTATTCTGTTTTATCTTTCAAAGACAGCAGCACACATTCAAATATAAGAAAACAATGAGGAAGCTGCTGAGAACAAACAAATATAAAGTGGAGCAGCGGTCAGATATCAACAGAGCAGCAGCACTTCCTGTTTCAGCAGCTGTCAATCAAACACAGATACTTCCTGGTATGTTTAGTTTCTTAGTTTCCCCTCTCAGACAGACAGACAGACAGACAGACAGACAGTCCTCCGGGAGCTGAGGGTCGTTTCCAGAATGCAGCTCTTCATCCTCCTCTTCCTCCTGTCCCACGTTGCCGTGGTGACAGCGGTGGTCGGTTGCCACAGCGACAGGGACAAGGACCACCGGCCGAGGGAGAACTGCACCGCGGCCGGCTTCAGCGACGTCCCGGCGGGATTCGAACCATCGACCAAGGTAACGCCACGAAACACTGAGTTCAATGTAAAGTTAAGATGTGCAGAGGTCACAAGTAAAAAACACGTTAAGATATTTAAGTTATCAGGTTATAACAAGACAAGTTTACAAAGTTAACGTACACTTTTCACTTTATAAAGCCATGGCAGCAGTACCAGTGTTCCCACGTCCTGGAAAACCTGGAAATTTAGAGGCAGTCATGGAAACACCTGAAAATGTATTAAAATGAGCCAATATCCTGGAAATAATCTGTTGTCCTCGAAATGAATTGTTTAATGTAATCTACGCCTACACTCCCACCCTAGATGCTAAACAGAGTGCGTATATGATCTTCCATCATAAAATCTTCACCCCTTTCTCAAACATCCATGAGAAGTTATCCATTTTCTTTGTATCCTTTTTCAAAGTTTAGTTGAAGTTATGTTGATCTGGCTGAAGCTCTGACCGTCACCATGTTCTTTCTGTGGGAAATGCTGCATGATTTTATTATTCAATGACCATATCCAGTTAAAGATCACTGTTCGTCCACAAAGAACTTCTGAAACAGACTAAATCAGGATCATTGTAGCTCCACAACAACACTGCACAATCAAACATCCTTCATGCTGTGAAAACTTGCTCAAAGTAATGTCTGTTAAAAAAGACATTTAATGTTTAACAAAAGTGAAGGAATATAAACAGATAATTTGGCAGGGAGTTGTGACAGCAGCATGGCACATGAACTATACATTACACTCAATTAAAATGTGGCAAATTGCATTCAAACACTGTAAATAACATGATTTTGAGGTTTTCTGAGGGTCCTTATTGTCACACTCTGGTTCACACACGATTTACAGTCTAAAGAGCTGAACTCAACCATGTGTTCAAGTGTTTGACTGACAGGAGGAGACCACAGCGGAGACACAAGCCTCCTGTTCTACACCGATAAGATTAACAGTTTAACAGGAAACCCTCACAGTTTTAAATATTCTTCTACTCTCTCTCTTTCTGGTTTTTAGGTTCTGTTGTTTCCTAACAACCTGTTCTCCAGTGTGTCCTGGTCCTCCTTCCAGACCTTTACGGACATCTATGAGATCGACTTCACAGGCAACAAGGTGTCTGTCTGCACCACGCTCCTGGAAAAATATAAATACTGCCTGCATATTAGTTAGTAGTTGGTATCAGTATTCATTCTCTCATATTGTTGTGTGTTTCCTGACTTTCAGGTGCCAGAGGTGACCTCCAGCGTGTCTCCGATCCTGCCCACCCTCAGTGTTCTCCGGCTGGGGTCGAACCATATTAAGGCCCTCTCTGACGGTTCCTTCACCGCCTGTCCAGGTCTGACTGAGCTCTACCTGAACAAAAACGCCTTGGACTCCCTGAGCGACCACACCTTCTCTGGGCTCAGCAAGCTGGAGGTCCGTGTGTTAACATGCTGCGATATGATGAAGGAACTGTGAAGGCTGCATGTCAAAAACTTAATAATCATGGAGGTTGAACAGTGGATGAATGTTGTGAATGCAGCGTGTTAGGAGGTTAAGATGGAGGCGCTGTTTTACAGAAACTGCCTATTTTAAGCCTTAAGTTAAGAGAAGAGAAGATTTCTCCCATTTGGTATTACAGAAGCAAATCAAACTAACTTTAGGAATCCTATTTTATAGGTTAGGAAATCCTAAATACTCAATCCAACAACGCTTATCAGCTTTAATGTCTGTTACCTAGCAACCAATGCTAGTTTCCTCATCTTGCTCAAGTCCCAAGAAAGAGCGCAGAGCTTTAAAGCCAATGTGACATAGTGGCCAAATTACAGTAATGGCGTCTGTCAGGTGACGCACAGCAGCCCAAAAAGACTTTTTCCCATAAAGAAACAAACTGAAACATACAAAAACTGGAGCAAAATCTTTTTTAATCTTCAGTTAGGATAAGAACACTGACTTATATTAATCTATTATGGCTTTTCCCCCTAAAATACTTCACAGTTACTGCACGTTACGATCATGATTATGTTAGAGAGCCAATTTCAGCACTTGAATCATAATCAAAACCAGTTACGAATGTGTTAGCTCATGTCAGTTTCTCTGAGTTCTTAGTTTTCTTACCGAAGAACCTCAACCGTCGCCTTCTGAATGGCTGTCTTACCTTTTAGATCCTGGATTTGTCGTCAAACCGTATCAAGGTGCTTCCCGAGCTCATGCTCCACCCCCTCTCTGCCATAGAAACCCTCTACCTGCATAACAACAAGGTGAGAGAACACACGCTGATAGGATCTGAAAGCATTTTAGCACTCAGATAAAGGTGGTGTAAACATCCTGAAAGATTACCGGTGGTACAAGTTCAGCAGTTCAAGCTCTGATCTAAAACTACCTCCTTTTCATTTCAGATCAAGGTGATGCCGGATGATTGGTTCAGCCAGAAGGAGGAGGTGCCGTACCTTTACCTCTCAGAGAATCTCTGGGTCTGTTCCTGTTCCCTTGGTTACTTGCGAAGGTACATTGACGACTACGAATTCAACATCTACGTCCGGGATGGCCCGCTCATCAGGGTCGAGGCAGAGAGTGTGGTGAGTACCCATAATATCCTTAGAATATTTCTGTGATCCTTCAGTAGTGTCTGTGACGCTGGAAATACACTCCCATCCCATCCCTAACCCCTTTGGTAAACAGTAAGACTCAATTAAATTCAGATACTGGAGCATCCTTGAATGTTACCACAGTGAAAGAAAAGTAATAGCAGTCTGGAAACTGATGGTATGATTTGGAAAGTCAGATCAAGAAGAAGAGCAACGGTGGGAGTGCCTTTAAAAGCTCTTACCTTAGAGACTGGAGAGGGTTTACCTTAGGAACTAGGACAGAGACTGTGTGTAATACATATTTATGGTTATCTGTCCCCAGATGTGTGACTCTCCACAGTGGCATAAGGGTAAACCTGTAATGAGTCTGGAAGAATCTGATCTGTGTTCACCGAGTTCTTCGGGTCCAACGGCAAACTTCTACCCACAAACAACTACATACGGCCCTCTTATGATCCCAGCTGCAACCACCAAATCACCTCTTCCTCCCACTACTGCTGCTTCTACTCCTGCTACTACTTTTTTTCGTACCACCTCTACGACTTTTATTCCAACCACTGCTCGTGCTCCCTCCTCCTCTGCTACAGCAATCGTAGAAGAACTCCACACTGTGTACCACAGAGTAGTCACATGGTCCAGATTCATTGAATGGTCAGATTATTCAGGGTCAGACGTGAAAGGTACGATGCGGTTGGTTGAGCTGCATACTCCTACTTCCTCTTCTCTCCATACCGTCAAACCCTCAACTGAAAGTCCCGTTAAAATGACGACCGCTGTGCCAACAAAACCAACTGAGACAACCACATTTGTTCCTTCAACCGTAAAACCAACAACAGCAAAAGTCCAAGAAGTCACAAAAACCACCACAATCCCTTCGTGGGTGATCGCTGAACCGGGCAGCCGGCGGCGTGGCAGAGTGAGTGCGGTCAGAGGCGCTGGCGTCTTCTGTATTTGGCTTTTCGCCGGGTGTCTGCTGCTGTGCGTGGCGTCTGGGGCGTGTATATTGGCGACTCTGGCGAGGATGGTCATCTGGTACCGGAGGGTGTACAAGCCGCTGAGTATGAGGAGGAGAGGAGGTAGTGAGGGAGTAAGGATTTTAACGTACAGCAGGCAGGAAGAGAAGGAGGTGGCAGGAGGAGGAGTGATGGCACTGTATCGATCGGTTCTGTTCATCCAGAGAGAGGGAGGAGAAGCTATGGAAGATGGAGGGAAGGAAGGTGAGGAAAGAGGAGGGAAAGAAAGACTCCTAGTCAGTTTGGAGCCGAGTGGAGGAGCTAGCGCAATGAAGGAGGAAGAAGGAGAACGAGGAGGGAGGGAGGAGAGAGGAGGGAAAGAACGACTCCTTGTCAGTGTGGATATGAGTGGAGGAGTAGGCGCAATGAGGGAGGAAGAAGGAGAACGAGGAGGGAGGGAGGAGAGGGGAGTGTACAGGAAGACATTGTACCGTCTGTTAAGCAAGGAGGAGCAGGTAGAGGGATGGAGGGACGTGAAGGAGGAGTGTTGGGTCCCTGCAGAAGATGGTGGGAAGAGGGGTAAAGATGAGGGGGGGGGTAGAGAGAGGAGTGGAGGAGAAGTTTCCAGGAAGTCCTACAGTGTCATTCTGAGGGAGGAGAGGGAGGAGGCAGGCGGAGGGAGGGAGGAGGTGGACTGGGTGGTCGGGGGGTGGGAGGTGAAAAGAGGAGGTGAGGAGGAGGAGCCCCGAAGCAGCTGGGGGGAGTGGCTGGCACATTACCTACCCAGCATGCCCTGGGGTGTGACCACGCCTCCTGAGGGCGGGGCAGCTCAGTGATGTCATTAGTGTTGTTATTATTATATAGTATCATATACCGGTAATTATTATTGTATTATTCTAATTATTAGTGTGACATTTGGATTGCTGAATGTTGGACGATGAGAGGATGAATCTTTATGTACCAGTGCAAACTGCAATAAATCTACTGAAACTTAAAACTAACTGTGGTTAAGTTCTTTGATAGGTTGAATAGATTTCATAGTCTAACTTCTTATTATTGGTGCATTATTGGCATCCGACCATTAACGAGTGATTAAAGGTTAGACTACACATTCATTATAATAAATATCAAGTAAAACCTTTTACATTTGAAAATGAGACCTCACAGTTTAAGAGACATTAAATGATGTTAAAATGTGTTAATGTATTTCAAGGTACATTCATAGTGAAACCAACTTTCTGTCCAGCTTAGAAATGACTGTCAGTAAAGACTTAAAGACTTCTCTTTATTGATCCTTTTGGGATGACAGATTACATACTTTGGTTTATAGAATTCAACATGTACCTGCTTATTTTAAATGTGTAATATTTGAATAGAAATGTGTATTAATGTGTCATCAATTCAAACATCTCAATGGTTTTACCAGATCCAGAGAATAAATGAGGTTGCAGTAAGGAGCAATGTCCACATGGTGGAGCTGTAGGATAAACTTAAGACTGGGTTCAGAGCAGCGCTGCAGATAACCGCAAATATTTCTAATATTATTAATTTTAGAAAATATTAAAACCTATAAATTAAAGTGTATACACTATTTGTTGTTCAAGTAGGACACTGAGTCCAAAATATGAGCAGAAAAAATTAAACTTGACTAAAACTAAAAGAACTAGAACTAAACTAAACTAAACTAAACTAAAACTAAACTAAACTAAACTAAACTAACTAAACTAAAACTATTAAACTACTAAAGTGGAAATTAAATATAAATAGTGCAAAAGGTTTGTGTGTTGTAGGTTGGAGTTCTAAACCAGTCTTTATCTTTATCTGCTGGGTTGGAGGTACTGGGAGCTGTGGCGTTGTTTTCACTGTATATATATCTTATAATATATATATCTTATAATATATATATCTTATATATCTTCTCTGACTCTCTGAAGGGACCGAAAGCTTAATGTCACCAAATGTTTGCAGAGTAAGGAATGGTAGAAGCAGCTCTCTTCCTGTGTGAGTTTACAACAGACCTGCTGTTACACTCTCAGTAGCTGAATGTCTGACACAACCTGAACGCAACCTAACAGTTTATGATTGCTGGTAAATCATGTGACCTCAGGGAGCAGTGGGCGGAGCCAGAGAGTCTGTTTAAAGCTGAGCAGCAGGAAGACTCTTCACCCTGATCTTCCTCAGGTGCTGACTGCTTCTGGCTTTATTCACAGCTTCATGGACACTGACAGTGAATGCAGGTACGAGTTCTCATTCATACAGCAGCAGGTTGATCTAAATGAAAGTTAGATAAATCATCATTTCTTTAGCTTGGGAAAGTTTCTACCTGAGTTTAAAACATTGAAAGAGCTGATGAATACGAATCCTCAAAATGGCCGACAGGAAGCTGAGTTACTGTTAATATCTCCTCTGTTTGTAACTTTATATTAAACCATCGCAGCGACTGAGCTGCTGCTGAAGCTCCTGAAGCTCTCTGTATGAACATTATTATATTACAATAAAGTTTATACGTCATAGGGTTAGCATTAGCATTAGCACTCCTCATTGGGCTCCGTTGCAGCTTTTATTCATTAAATTAAATATTATAATTAAATATAATATAATATAATATAATATAATGTAAGTCAGAGGATGAAAGTTAACAACAATGTACAGAAATATAAAGACAATAATAGATTTATGAGTGGTATCCTGTATGAAGTCATATTTCACTGTTTATATCGCCGGCATCAAACACTGTTAGAGATAAATATAACCAGATGTGACCCTTGACCTCTTTACATCCAGTGGTATTTTAAGGCTGTTTGTGTGTCTGAATATGAACTCATACTCACACTAACATTTTTCTTTTTTCCTTTTTTGTTCATTGATTTTTATTTTCATGTATTCATTTATGGTGCACTTGTGTTTTATGTCTGTCTGTCTGTCTGTCTCTCTCTCTCGCTCTCTCTCTCGCTCTGTCTGTCTGTCTGTCTCTGGAAGTTTTGTCTCTCAGCAATTTAAAGAAATAACTGAGTCAATCAAAATGAAATAAGATTTATTTTGTGTTTTTTAACTTTGAAAAAGTTCCATATTTCTCTCATTGTTTGTCCTGATGGATTTGCTGTTGATGTAAAAACAATAAAGAACAATAAACCAATAAACAGCATGTTGTCAGTTTCTGAAACACTTCTGTGGGGCATATTATGGGATGTACTGTGGGTTGACCAGAGGGAACCTCCAGAGGACGGTCCCTGTATTCTTCCAGAGACTTTGCATGCTGGGAGGATTTCAGTCACTGACCTGAAGTTCCTGATCAAACTGCACACAAGTTAAACACCTGACCCAGCTGCAGGAAGGTCGGCGGGCAGAACTGAGTGTGTGTGTGTGTGTGTGTGTGTGTGTCCTTTAACAACCGTAAATATATTTAACACACTCAGAAATGTAAAGCCAAAACAACTCCATCAGACAGGCTCCACCCACATTACCTGCGACCCTGCACATCATCTGTGTGTGTGAGACAGGCCAGAAGAAGATAATCCACCCCCAATGAATATATCAGTACCTGAATATATGCTCACATATACACAGTGTAGGTATAACAGGCGGTGTGATCATAAACTCCGTCTGATTTAGTGCTCATTAATGTGTATGTGCATGGCTCTCTCTCTCTCTCTCTCTCTCTCTCTCTCTCTCTCTCTCTCAGACCCCCAGGAGGTCTCCGTGGAGTCTGGGTCGGATGTGACTCTTCCCTGCCGGGCTCCCACAGACCTCACAGCAGTAAGGTGGAGCAGACCTGAGCTGGGGTCAGACCACTACGTGTTCTTCTACAGGGACAGACGGCTGTACGAGGAGTACCAGCATCCAGCTTATCGGGGTCGAGTGTCTCTGGTGGATCGGGGACTGGAGCACGCAGACGCCTCTGTGACCCTGAGGAGGGCCTCCTTCAGGGACACTGGGACTTATGAGTGTGTGACAGTGAGCAGCAGAGGGCACAGGAAGAGGACCAGTGAGCTCCACCTGAAGGTCTCACACTCAGGTGAGTTTGCACTAACAAACATATAAACAATAACTGTATAATATTCACACAGATTTCACTGTGCTGTTATTTCTATAATTAAAGGGAAAGTTTTCTCAGTATTTTATATTTGAAAGGTCTTTACTGTTCTTTAGCGAACACTTTCTGTTTGAGGACGACCTCCACTGTATCACAGGAGAGTTGCTTTAGAGAACATTAAAGGGAACATTCGCTCAAATGACTTTATAATCTCATATTTAAATGCTCATATTTTCTTAGCTAGGAGATTTGATGCTGTCATTTTACTGTATTTACTGTTTGAGATACGTTTGACTTTAACTACATTTTAACAGTCGTGACTTCCTCACATTTGCTAGCCTGTCTCTTCTTTGGGTTGATTATGTGATGGTCTATTTACCTTTACACTGTAGGAACATTACATCATAAGATCACCAACAGTTGGAAGAAATAATCAATAATACCTCTTTCTCAAGTTGAATCTTTAAACACACATATCAATATTATATGCTTTGAGAATCCCTCAGATATATTTCTATATATGTGTGTGTATATATATTTCTCTGAACTCAGCATTAGAAATCCATCCATTGTTTTATTTCCAAATCTTCACACATTTTTGTCTTTTTATTGAACTTAAGACGATCACATTGTTTGTTTTTAACACGTTCTTTTAAAAATGAATATAATGATAAATTTGACCACACCTTTTTAAAATGATTTAAGATAGAACTACAGAGACAAAGAGGCAGTGAACTGCTGCTGTAAAGCCGCAGAGGTCAGTGATCCTCCGCTGTCTGCAGGAAGATCTACAGCAGATAAACAAACTGTGATCTTTATTGTTTAATAGCAGCCAAACAAGCCTTCGTTAAAGCTCCAGTTCGTAGGATTGAATCAGTCCTCAGACAGCTGATACCTCACATCTGTTTCTGCCTCAGGTCTCACAGCTGGACAGACTGACGAGGGAGGGGACACGCGTGGACATTATGGACTGGTGGCTCCGTTTGTTGTTGTGATTGTGATTGGTTCTCTCATCTTGTGGAAATATAAAAACCATGTGAAGAAGAGTTCAGAGTGTCCTGCTGCTGATGAAGCCCCTGAACTAAATCAGTCATCATCAGCAGAACCAGTTCCTCAGTGAGCCTCTGCACCATCAGCTCTGTACGGTTCAGTGCAAACTAATAATGACTCCTTTCTGTGAGCTGCTACCTTATCTCGGGGGGTACGATAACGGTAACGAGAGGATCAGTGCTCAGACTGTTGGCTGATCGGTGCAATCGAATGTTTCATGTTAAAATATCATTAATGCAGGGGCACAAGAGGGTTAATTCTGATTGGTATTATAAGTTAAGCTTAATGCAATGCATGCTGGGAAGTATATGAGAACAAGCTAATATGTATTTATACTTTGTTTTATTTGAACAAATGTGACCGAGACAAAGTCAGTAAAAGCTTTTATTTCCAACATAAACTGAAGCTTTAAAGGTGCAGTGTGCAGAGAGCTCTGTACTGTATAATGTGTTTGTGATTTATAAATGTTGGTCTAAAGATTTCAGTTAAATCTGTTTAAGCTGCTGCTCTGAATGTGTAAATGTAAAGTTATCATATTTATAATAAACAGTAAAATATACTAAAGCTGTATCATATATTTATTATTATCACTGCTGCATGAACATGTAACCAGTTTATTAACCAGTGAAGGTGGAGAGGTTTCCAGGTAAACTGTTGATCTGCAGAGTGACCTATAATAGTGTCTGCCTGGACACTAGTGACATCATACGCTCTCTGAACTCTGATTGGCTGCTCTGTGTCTTCAAACTAAATAATCCATAGACTGCAACTCATCCAGAACTCAGCTGCACGAGTTGGAACCAGAAGGAGATGAGTTCAATTACAAAAAGAATGCAAAATAAATGAATGTATGTGAAGAGACAGAGTTGACAAACAAGTACATGACTTCTCCCTAACACTGAATGTTCCTTTCTTTCCAAAGCAGCTCTCTCTACAGCTTTGATTCAGTTGTATTGACAGTGTGTTACAGTCTACAGTGGTTTTTCCATGTTTTACCACTCAACCTCTATTACTACAGCTACGGTTTAGTGATCCCTCTGTATACTTTGGGACTAATTCGACATCACATTGCAGCAAGTTGGAGATTAAAACAGATGCGGTGACTCACCATCAATGCAGTCCAGAAGTTTAAAGTTCACAACAAAGAGATAGTAAAAGTGATGTACCGTGCAATGAAAAATATAAATATGTTTTCTCCCATAAAATCAACCTGGGCTGTTTGTATATTTCTGGAATCCTACATAGACAACTTTGTTGAAGCACCGTTTGATTTTATTACAGCACTGAGTCTATTAGAATGGCAGATCTTGACTTGGCAATATTTGCCCACTCTTCTTTGCACAGCCCTCTTCAGATCACCCCACAGATGTTCAGTTGGATTCAGGTCTGAGCTCCGGCTGGGCCAACCCAAAACCGTCATCGTCTTCTGGTGAAGCCGTGCTTTTGTTGATTTGGATGTATGCTTTGGGTCATTGTCGTGCTGAAAGGTGAAATTCCCACCACCATGCTTCACTGTGGGTATGGTGTTCTCTGTCCAGTGTTGTTTTTGTGCCAACCCTTTTAGAACACATTTTCTCACATACTTTTGGGAGACTTCATGTATTTGTTTGGTAAATTTAGCCGGGTTTGGATGTTGTTCTGTGAAAGAAAAGTCTTCCGTCTTGCCACCCTAACCAATAGCCCAAACGTAGGAAGAATACAGAGATTGTTGTCACATTTAGTACACAGCTCCTTTAATGTTTCCTGTAGGCCTCTTGGAAGTTTTCTTCTCGTCTTTTCATCAGTTCACTGTTGTGCCATGTTTTCTTCCCTGTGTTCCCCATGGTATATCTAATGCCCTGGAAATTCTTCTGTACCCTTCTCCTGACTGATACCTTTCAGCAATGAGATCCCTCTGATGCTCTGGAAGCTCCCCCGGGGCTTTTGCTCTGAGATGCAACTAAGAAACTGTAAGGAAAATCCAACTAGAATAGCTGAACTTAATTTGGGATTCATCAGAGTCACTGTGTGTACTGACTACTATTTAATATGAGTTTGAATGTGATGGGTCAATTCTGAACACAGCTACATCCTCAGCAGTGATGCTGTGATCCCATCTGACCACTTCTTTCAGTAACGAGTAATCTAACGCGTTACTATTTCCAAATCGGTAATCAGATTAAAGTTACTTATCCAAGTCACTGTGTGTTACTATGTTTTTAATTTTCCATAATAAAAAATATATTTGCTTTCTTCTTGCGTCTCTGGGAGTGAAGTCACGTAGCCTATGCGACAAGTCACGTTTTCATCATGAGGACAGTTCACGTGTAGGCTACGCAGACACAAACATAAACAACAATGGAGGGAGGAGAGAGATGCGCGTTTGCTTGCTGGAAATACAGTCACTATTTTGAGTTTGTGTCAGTTAAAGATGGCAGTATTAAGGTTCGTTGTACGCTCTGTGCTGGTGGTGACAAAGTGCTATCTAGCTACAAAAACACTACGTCAAATTTGAAGAAACATTTAGAGTCACAGCACTGCACAGTCAAACTTACAGAGCAAGTCTCTAAATAAGGTACAGTACATCCAAAACTCCACTGCACCTATGCTCACCCACACCCACACCCGTGACCACATCACTCCCGTCCTCCAGAACCTCCACTGGCTCCCAGTTCCACAGCGCATTCAGTTCAAAATCCTCCTCCTTACACACAAAGCCCTCCATAACCAGGCTCCTTCCTACCTCACTGACCTGCTCCATCGCCACAATCCATCCCGCAGCCTCCGCTCATCTGAAGCAAACCTCCTGACTCCTCCAACCCCGGACCAAGCACCGAACCTGGGGCGACAGAGCGTTCTCTGTAGCTGCCCCCTCCCTCTGGAACTCTCTCCCCAAACACATCCATGACTGTACCGACCCTCCAACATTCAAATCACTGACAAAAACTCACCTTTTTAAAATTGCTTTTAATGTTAAGCTTAGTCTGATGTGTTTTTAGTGTTTTACTATTTGATGTTGTTTTGCTGCTTTTATGTTTTTATGTAAAGTGTCTTTAAGTATTTAGAAAAGCGCTTATAAATAAAATTTATTATTATTATTATTATTATTAAGTCCCACCAGGTGGTACGAAGCAGAGAGCAGGAGGTCCCCCACCACCCAAACAACAAAAGCTGGACTTCGGTGCAAAACCAGTAAGTGGGGGAGAGTTGAAGAAGTTGGTCGGGCAGTATGTTGTAGAGGAAATGCTACGTGTGGTGTTATACACTTGTTTTGTTTTGTAAAACCACTCCTTGCTGCTCTAATGCTGTGAACAACAGGTACAATGTTCATAAAACATGTTATAAAGAATTTAATAGTTACATTTCTAAACAATGTAAATTATAAATAGTAAGTTTTGCCATTACAGTGTTAACAGTTAAATATGTCAGGTCAAGAAAGATTTATCTCAACCTGACATTTTAACAGACTTTTTCTATCCACTGTATATCTGAAAGAGCAAGAGAGGCAGCTAGAATACTAACTACACTGTCACTGAGGAAGCATTCATTTAGGAATGAGAATGACACATTAAATGCTTCCAGCTAACGATAGCTCTGTTGTGGAACCTCTCATAGAGTCACAGATGGACTAAAATCATCAGACCTAAAACCTGTTTTCCCTGTATTTTGAAGGTAGTGGCTTAGATTTATTAGGTATTCATGGGAAAAGCATTATAATATGTCAAGATTACTGTATATCAAAAATATGTGGTTATAATGGGAGTCAATAGGTCCAAGTCAGGCCCGAGGTTAAAGGTTGTAGGTATAGTGTGAATCTCCTATCCTATACACCTTACAATAGAGGGGATCATGGAATTTTATAAATAATAATAAAAAACCAATCCTGGCCAAGTTTCATACAATTAGCCTTTAAACTGATATATTGAGAATCAAACAAGTCAAAAAGGAAGAGTGTAAACGTTTGGTCCCCCAGGGTGCCTCGAGGGTTAAAATAAATGAGACTTTCAGACAGGGAGGGTGTCGCCCTACAGTAGCACAAACACTACATATATATACATATAAATACATATTTATAGTCCAATACTGTACAGATATTCCATCAGTTTCTCTATGGGCTTCTGTACCGGTACCAGTATCAGAAGTGATGAACTGTGCTGACTGCCACCAAGTCCTCAGCCAATCCCTCCTCAGGGGTCGCCATGGAGACAGGTAGGTCATTTCCTGTCAAAGGAGTTAAAAATAAAATGAGATTCATTTTATCAGCAGTAATAAAAGAGCAACACATCACCCAACAGCACATCATAATTCATCTGTTAACTGATACTGTGATTGATTTTGATTGATTGATTGATTGATTGATTGATTGATTGATGAGTGTTACCTGTGGCCCTCTGTCGATATAAAGACACCATGAGGACAGTGGAGATGCAGTACGGACAGAACATCACAAGGTGGTAGAGCAATCTGAACACTAACTGGAGGGGGCTGGAGGCAGTGGGTGGGGCTGCAGATGTGGGTGGGGCTTCAGGTGTGGGCGGGGCTGTGGTTGTAGGTTTACCTGCAGAGAGAATCCCACCTGGTCAGGTGAATATCTGGATGAAATAAGTCCTGAAATCAAAGGTAACCTCCTCACCTGTGACAGTGATCCAGCTGGGTGGAGACTCTCCATGACTGCCAATGTGACACTTGTAGAGGCCTTCATCAGACCTGGAAACATGGTGGATGGTCATGTGACCTGTAGGCTCAGTCCTGATGAGGGAGCCATCTTTATAGAAAGCAGCTGTGAGGTTGGAGGGAGGGGTCTTTGTTTTACAGTGCAGAGAGACATCATCTCCCTCCATCACAGGGAGGACAGGACTCTGCAGGATCACTGGTCCACCTCAACACAGAGACAGACTACAGCATTTCATCCATTTACACACAGCTTCATCAACACTAACTCCACAGTCTGATCTTACCAGTGACACTGATGTTGATGGTGTTACTGGTTGCTCCCTCTCTGGACTCACACCAGTAAACTCCACTGTCCAACGGGACGATGAAGCTGATGTTACAGGAAGAACCAGCTGGTTCTCCCCACGTTACTCCACACTGAGTCCTGGTGTCTCTGGTTGTGTTCCTCCTCAGTGTCCATCCAGCAGAGCTGTCGTCCTCCTCACAGCTCAGAGTGACAGAGTCTTCTTCAAACATCTGAGAGCTGCTGGGACTCACAGTCAGAGAGGCTGGAGGGAATTTATGATATTTTAAACAATCTGAGAGTGAAATTTGAAACACTGAACTTTAGTTTCTGAACATGAAATCAACGTTGCCAACGTTGCCAAAGTTTTACTCAAACGGCTCTTACAGATTGAATCCAACCTTTAATGTGGTTAAAGCATGAACATCAGTAAATCAGTGTGCATTGATCTTTAATGGTTATTAGTAACTTCCAGTTTCTCCACAGCTGCTTTATACTGCATGACAAGTTTCAACTTCTGTTCATTAAATCTCAGCAGACATCTGTTTTTAATGGAAACTTAATACTAAGTTTCAAACATCGTCTGTGTTCGAGCTGAAGATTTGTTTCTGAACTTGTTGAAGGATTTGAAAGCTCAATAAAGGGCTGATTCTAGCGACACGTCCTAACAACCGTTTAGTTTCAGGACTTTTATCTGCATTCTAACTTTTCTCTCTGTGGTTGGTAGAAAGCTCCAATGTGACTGTTGTGGACTGTCAGAGGAGGTGTTTACCAACCTTGGGTAGCAGTGCAGCATAGCATTGTGGTTAGCCCTGAAGAGAAGTGAGAGTGGTTTGAGGTTTTATGTTGAACACAAGACGATTCTCGGAAATACAAACATTACAACTTTGTGCATATTAAATATCTAACCTGTATCACATTTAACTTTAAGATATACAACGAAATAAACATATGATGAGCCTGCAGAGACATCACCAGACGCCACTGAATCCTACACACTGGTCCTTTAAAGGTCAGACAACCATCATCAAATCCACATCATACAGTCATAATATACAATCACATTTTATACTTTTATATTTGAAGGAGTGTCATTTCTTCTCAGTCTTTATGATGAGCTGTTAATGTGCAAAGCCCAATAAACCAACTATAAACTAATTCTTTTGTCTCTTTACACCACTGACATGTTGTACATTTAGGATTTGATGGCAGTAGTGTTGGACAGTAATATTTATATTACATTTTAATCCGAGATGAGACAGAATATCACATATTAAAGTGTTGTTACTTCCTGCTGTTACAGGCTCCACTGCAGGAAATGAGAACTGTTTTCTAAACTTATTAAATTGTTAAACAACTGATTTCTCTCCACAAAAATCTCAGTTCATCCCAATAAGACCTTACAATCATTAGATACACAGATTAGAACAGATTGGACTTACAGAGCAGACAGTGTGCAGATGTTTGTCCCATCGTAACTCTCTTACAGTTGTGAGATCAACATGTCACCTCCAGCTGTCAGTCACATGACCTGCTTCCTCTTCGAAGGTGAGAACTTTGTGGTTTGTTGACAGAAAAGGTGCCAGTTTATTTCATCAGACACAGATACGAGGACAAGAAGTTCATAGAAGAAGTTATACAGATTAGTTCATAAATACAGACATTAGATGGTGGGAAAGGTGGCCATGTATCCCTGCTGTGTATGTTTTAATGAAATAAAACTTAATGTAGCAGCTAAGCTAACCTTTGCTGCTATATTGCTTGCTTGCTATATTTTGAGTGTGTGTTTGAATTGCTTTTACGTCTCTGTGTGTGCAGTAATGATGAAACAGGGACCCACAGTAATATGTAGTGTAACGTATCCGTGTTGCATAGGTTGGAGGCTAATGTTTGTTGAACTGGTGTATGAGTCACTGTACCGTTGTGCTGAGAGATAATGTTGGACATAAACGTGTTGACGGGGTGCCACAGTGTATTTTACAGAATGTCCAGTAAATGAAGACAATATTAATCCGTGTGTGTCGTATGTGCAGCACAGAGATGAACCATCAGTTCATTAAAGGAGTGAAAACAAAGGATCCTCGTTGATGCAGCAGAACAACAGATACTGAATGTATCTGTATCAGTATCTGAACAACAGATACTGAATGTTTGATTCCACACATTCTTCTTGTGTTTTAAATCTTTCTAAAGGCCAGCAGAGGGCGGCTGCAAGTAGAAGTCTGATATGAAAAGAGTAAACAGTTTCCTAGTGAATTTATGGTCTCTAGTCTTCTTCCACACAGTATAATGTTAAAGGCAACCCCGTCTCTTCATCCTCCCTTTCAAGTGTGAAGGAGAAACTATGGTGGCAGGAAAACGGCAACCGATGCGTCTGCAGATAAAACGTCTCATTCTAAGGTAACAAACACACAACGATTCTTATTTTCAGCTGATTAAACACAAATGAAAACATAACTATGAATATTATATTTCTGACAATAGATCCTCCTCAATGTTACACAAGGAAGTTTTAACAGTAGAGCTTTTTAAATTACTAACATTAGATGGCTGTTTGGCTATAAGGAAGTGCATCCAACCCTTTGAAACAGAGTACAATTTTTGTCATTTGTGATAACGTGTTTACATACACAAGCTCCTGCATTGACTTGCCTTTCAGGGCTTCCGTAATAGCAATCAGATTTATTAACACATTTTTTTGTGTGGATTTGTTGATGTACAGGGTGGCTTGTTGCATAAATGAAAGCTTTCTCACAGTATCTGCAGCGGTATGGTTTCTCTCCGGTGTGAATACACTTTACCACACTGGTCACAGCTGTATGGTCTCTCTCCGCTATGAGTTTGTTTGTGGATTCTATAGTGACATAACCGTGAAAAAGTTTTCCCAAATTGTTCACAGTTGTATGGTTTCTCTGCAGTGAGAAATCTCAGGTGAATCTTTAGCTCTTCGACAATGTGATCCCTTTGTCACACTGCTGACAATGGTGAGGGTTCTCTTTAATGTGAAATCTTTGATAATGACTGTGTAGTTCTGATGATATGAAAGTATACACTCCTGACAATGGTACGGTCTCTCTCCAGTGTGAACTCTCCGATTAACTGTTGGATCTCTTTGTCTTTTGTGTGTTTTCTCACACTGGTCACAGCATTCGTGTACCATGAAAGCCTTCTCACAGTGTCTGCAGTGGTACGGTTTCTCTCCAGTGTGACTATGTTGGTGACACCTGAGGTTACTTGACTGAGAGAAAGCTTTACCACACTGCTCACAGCTGTATGGTCTCTCTCCAGTGTGAACTCTCTTATGGACCTTGAATCATTGTGAATTACTTCTCACACTGGTCACAGGAGTGAGTTTTGTGTATCTCTGTTTCTATAGCAACAGACAAAGATACAGAGAGACAGTATAGGTAAAGTGCATTGATGGATAAAATGTTGCTATATTTGGTTTCAATAATAAAACAGTTTAGCCAAATTAAGTCTAGCTGCAATTCATATTGCATAAACCAGGACATCATTCTTCACTCGCTTCCCACCTGACAACAGTTTGTGTTAGTAAGAATGTATTTGCATTGGTGTACCACATGGACAATGGTTTTAAGAGTAAAAACTCATATTTGTGTGTTCTTACTGCCTCCTATAAAATAGAAAACAAAAGCTCCTCGGGATGCCCCCATAATAGTTGACAGTAGTCTTAAGTGACGCACTTTTCATTAGTCAGATAGTTGCCGAAAAACAAAAAGAAAATGTCAAACTCCATTCTGGAGCTGTGCCTTGTCACTGGGACAAGTATCAGAGGATTGTTGGAACAACCGGACTGTGAGCTCAAAGGACAGAGGGAGTTTAAACTCATAAACTATTCTCTTAATAAATGTTCTGAAAGTGGGTAGTTGGCCTTATTGGTTGACTGTTTTTACTTGAGAATGGTTATTTTCCATTCTTGGCTAATAGAATAAGCTTTAGTCTTTATATAATCAATTTTGTATTCTGAAAGACAAACATGTTTAAATCTTAAATTCATTAATTTCATGACTCAGTTCTGACTTTTTTACTTGTTTAAAATGCAGCATGCACAAACCAATGACCTCTGCAGGACCGACTGCACAAGGACATAACAGAATCCGGTTGGAAGGTCAGTCGAACTCAAGAGTTTTTTTATTTCTCCACACAAATGGAGCGAGGGATTTACAGTGTTATTAATGAGGCTTACTGCCAAATAACTGCAACATCATCGTCATCGCCACGCGGCCCGCAGATTTTAGGTGCCTAGTAATGAGGCATGCAGCCTAACTTGTTCACTTGTAGGGAGGCCGCAGGTCACAAGGTCACATCCTGTGCCTCTGCCCCAATAACTTAACTCGTGTCTCCTCATCCAACCGACTGCACAGAACAGCTGGACTGATACAGATGAGCACAAACGTCACAGTTCCACTTACAGAATAAAGATGATCAATCTCACAGACTGACTGTTGTTGTGGTAAAATACAACTGAAATGACATAAAAGTGAGAAGGATAAATAAATTAATTCACAGTTAGTTCAAAATCATATTTGCTGTGTTAAACCTTCTATGTTCTGTTTAAGATTACAGAAGAAAATACCCTGCTGAATGTGTTGTAAAACAGAGGTAGAAATCAGAAACAAGGCTGGGACTGGCAGCCAAGGGCTTCAGAGTTGCCACAACTGTGTAACGATACAGTGTATGACAACTTGCCACCCCACCCCACTTCCCTCTACCCTCTAAGGAGTGAATCCGTTCAGATTAGCAACAGAGGGACAACATTTTGTAACATGAACACTATTTTTATACTTTAAAACATAAAAATGACAAAAGAAAGGATTAAGTACATTGAGTACTGATAAAGAGGAAGATTTCATCTGTCAGTATACTTAATGCTGTATAGTATAAAAGTATGTTTAAAGCAGGATTTATAAATTAGAGTCTAGTGACACTTATGGATCATTTCAACTGTCAAAAGCAACACAATGATTATTATTTTCAGGTGATTAGATACTAATGTATAATGCTGACTGTACAGTGAGTACCTGGTGTATAAGAATGTAAATACACTGAATGATTTCACTTCATGAACACCAGAAGGATTATAGCTTTAAGTGTGTGTGTGTGTGTGTGTGTGTGTGTGTGTGTGTGTGTGTGTGTGTGTGTGTGTGTGTGTGTGTGTGTGTGTGATGTGGTTTTTATTTCTAGGTGAGATTAGACATGTAGCAACACGACCAGCAGAGTCTGGTAAACAACCTTTAGACTCACTCACTCTACCGAAAGACTGCCTACCAACATATAACACGAGTCCAGCTGCTCGACATGATTAACAACGACTCAATGAAAAAGGAAATATGTTAAGAAGTTCAAACACATTTATTAACATAATAAAGCTTATAGTGGTGAAATAAAGTGCATTGAAAGATTAATGTTCTAAGGCACATACAGAGGAAACAGTTTGATATCTGTAGTGAGATTGAAAAGCTCTGTGGTTCTTCACATTTCTAAATCAATGGGCATCAATAATGAGCTACAAACAGACAATTACTGTAATTCATATTTCATCTTACAAATTTTTAGATGCAACTTACAATAATTGCATTTAATCTCAGAAGGAAAACTTATAAAGTGCAGCAGTCCCAAATAAACAGCTAAAAGTTCTTAATATTTGTATTTTTTCTTGCACACTTTGATAACTTGTAAAAATACAGAAACCTATAACAGATATTGGTTAATAATTGCACATTGATCCATTCATAAAGAGGACAACACAATATAATTTACACCTGATGGAAACTGGAAGGTTAGTTATTAGTCATTAAACTGGTTCTCGTAGTGTCTCTGGTTAATGTGCAATAAGTTGATTAAGGTACATCAGTGAAAGCTCCCAGTCTGCTGCTGATCCTGACTCAATGCAATAACACTAATGAGAAACAGCTGATATATAATGCTGAGCCTGTTCTGTTTACTTTCTGTCTCTGTCTTCACTTAAAGTCTCTTTTGTTATCCTTCTGTAACTGTGACTTTAACGGTGGCCCAGAGGTGTCAAACAAAACTGCAAAAGTAAAGGTAGTGGTAACAGTATAATATAATATTAATATTGAGTGTAAGTCTGTTTATTATAATCACAATGTTTCAGACCATTTGTTATGTATAAATATATATTTATTCTTTATTCGTTTGAAACCTCTGGGACTGTTCAGACCTCTCGATGGTTGTCTGTTGCATCAGCAGGAGGTTTATAGAAAGTATTGTCTTTGAGTCCTTTACGACGTTTTAAAATCATAAAACTAACAATAGCAACAAGAACGAGAACACCAATAACTGAAAAACCAACTACAACTCCAACAACATATCCATCCTTGTTTCCTCCATCCTTGTTTCCTCCATCCTTGTTTCCTCCATCCTCGTTACCTCCATCCTCGTTACCTCCAGCCCAGGTGTTTCTAGCTGCAGAGCAGAACAAAGATGTGAGGTATCAGTAAGTCTGAGCTCTACAAACCCACCTGAGTCTGAGCTCTACAGACTCACCTGTGACTGTGACTGAGAGCTGGATGAGGTTCCTGATCTCAGAGCGTATCCTCTCGGTGGTTTCCATAACAACCCGACACTCGTATGTTCCAGTGTCGCTGACGGTGACGTTCTTCAGGACAACAGAAAAGTCTCCGTTCTTCAGCTCTGGATCTCTCGGCTCCACTCGACCGCGATACGACGGATGCTGGTAGCTTTCATACGAGCGCTCGTTTCGGTAGAAGAACAAGTAACCATGTGAGTCCAGATCAGGTCTGATCCACTCCAACAGTATGATGGAGGCCTCTCTGGGACCCTGACACTGAAGAGGGGCATCATCTCCAGCCTTCACTGTGATCTCTGGCTGGTCTGAAAACCAACAGAAAAGTTCAGTTACAAAGCAAACAGCTTTGGTTTTATTGACTTTCCCCACCAGCTGACTCCTTCTGTGAAATAACACAGTTATTATAAATCTCTCTCTCTCTCCCTCTTACATGCACTGCGGTACTTCAGTAACTAGGTAACAGCTGACAGAGACCTGATTTCTTAAGTGCAATGCAATAGTGAAACCTTTCTGTCCACCTGGTGTTTCCCAGCTCTGATCCCGCTGCCACGTCAAGATGTCATTTTAAAGTGAAAGTATTGCATGATGGAGTCTAAGTACAGTATGTTTGACATATTCTATATAATACCAGCTAAACAGCAATGACAGTAATGATAATATAATCTTCATAACAGTGGACATGAAGTGGGAAGCTGAGGGGGCTGCAGCACCACTAAAATGTAGAAAAGTAAAAGAACATTAGTTCATAAAAATGTTTATACAGGAAAGAGGTTTAATCTGTTTAAAGTTATAGCATTAGTGTAAAAACGTGTTAATAACAGTTCATTAGTGAAATAGGTTCGTAGGATAGGTTGATAGAAATGATCCTGAAACAAACACCCAGCTCGCCATATGTTCCCTGACCGCAGATGAGTCATGCATAAGGAGTGTGTGTGTGTGTGTGTGTGTCTGTGTGTGTGTCAGTGCACACTATACACACACACACAAACCAAGACAATGACACAACTCACCTTCAGATGCAGAGACCAGAAAGAAGATCAGGAAACAGGAGAAACCCACAAAAAACATATCAGCTGTGAGAGAAAGGACAGGAGTTCTCTTCCTGCTCTGGGTGAGGTTGTTATGCTGTCTGTGCTGCATTCAGGTACCCTCAGACATTCAACTTCTCACCATGAGAACTCTGGGTGTGCTGTATTACTTACAGCTGTACAATATATTGTAACTCAGTGCAGCAGCTCTGCAGTAACATTTATCTTTACAGAGTTTATAATGTTTTAATCATTTCTGTCAGAATTAATGTTTATTACTCAGCTCGTGTGTGTGTGTGTGTGTGTGTGTGTGTGTGTGTGTGGGTGTGTGTGTGTGGCCACTTGGGGGCAGCAGAAACCAGCTGTGAACACACTTCCTGTTTAATCCGTTTGTCCTGCAGACCGACACAGACGTGTGGTTTCAATCAGAGTTAAATGTGTCATTTGTTAATTTGTTTACCTACAAATAATAATAATAATAATAATAAACTCTATAAACCTCTCCGTCTTTAACCTTTTAGACACACTGATTGAACTGCTCCCTCAGGTTATATATTTTATACAAACGAGTCAATAAACTGAGTTACTCACCTTCTCACAGGTGAAAACTGTTGCATTCTGGGAAACAGACTTTGAGTGTGATTTGGTTCCTTCTGTCCGTCTCCGTTATCTGAGAGTCACACTGCTCCACTTCTGCTCGTCTTCTCTTCTCCGAGTGTGTATGAATGAAGACATGCAGCGACAGTTCTCTTCCTGCCCCTCAGCCAATCAGTGAGCAGAGCTTCACAGTGAGTCATAGGACAATTATAGATCATCAGCAGAGTGAATATTGGTCAGACGAGTTCTTTTATCAGTGAATGGAAGCAGTTTGTAGAATGGTAAAGAATCAATATGGAGTTCAATGAAGTTCAGAGTCAGTCCACAGTGTGTCCTCCCATCCAGACGCATCACACAGCTCTAGTTTTTGATTTAAAGTCCGGAGACACAAAACGACTACAAACAACACAAACAAACAAAAACCGATGCAAAACAGTTACAAAGTTTCACAAAGTTCATACAAAAGCACACAAAGAGAAACAAAACAATCAGAAACAGACTCCAGCAGAGAAAGGAGGACAGACTGAGGGACACAGCGGACAGAAAGAGACACACATCACCTTCATCCTTTCCTCAGGACACACGTACGGCAGACTGCAGATTCTTTTACGGTTAAAATGTTGTTGTTGTTGTTGTTGTTGTTGTGTTTATTGGCTCTCTTCCTGCATCGTGACCAGGCTCTCCCTTCTAGAAGCACCTCCATTATTCTTGTTGTATCTACCGTCCTCTCAAACACTCTATTTCTGTTTTTAATCTCTAATCTACGTCCACTCTGTCCTACATCGTCTCTATTAGTTACGTTAGTTAAATCATTACCATCACTCCTCCGCTCCAACACACCCCCTTCCCTTCCTTTATCTCTCTGTTTGTTGGCCTTATTAGAAAGGAAGGCTTTAGAACGATTGACCTTTTTTTGCTGTTTTGCTGCTGAGAGCAAAAACCACACAGCCAGTAAACTCACCTCCTCAGAAGGAAGGAGGAGGGTTCAACTGCTGCGACGGAAACATCTCTGTCACATCACTATGTGCCACCATGAGTCCAACATCATGCTGCTGCTCTGTGAGTACACACTGTCCAAATATTAATGATTATATTTACAGCCGGTCAGCTGAGAGGGAGAGGATGTTATTGATGAACAGATATGAGAAAGAAGAATTCATTAGTTGAGAAATAATCTCAGGCTTTTACATTCAGGGTTTTTTTTTTTTAACTTATTTTCAACAGGATGTGACAAACCACTTCATGAAACTTTGTAAAATGTCATATTTAATGAGCTGCTGAACCTCAGCAGTGTTAAACGACATTCTCACCTCCTGCCACTAAACACATCCTGTCTCAACAAGAGCTCTGCTTTAATGCATCAGATGAGTCAGAGAGCTGGTCTGTGGTCAGTGCTCCAAGATTATTATTTAATCCACCACAGGATTGAAAAACCTCAAAGATTTATTATTATTTACTGAAAGTAATCTGACCTTTATTCAGTGGAAACAGATTTCAGAGCCTCATTTTGTTGAATGTAAATCTTTTTTCTCCTCAGTGCTGAACTCGCTGCTGTGCTGCCAAACACACCAAGGTCAGTGCACATAAAGACCACAAAACACACGTACTAACAACTTGTTCCGCCTGCAGAGACTGAAAATAATGGAGAGTTACGGACTAAATCTTTATTTGAATAATGACAAAGTGTGTTCTTAAAGAAAGTCGTATAGGGATTATGTGCTGAACTATATCTGGGATCAGTGACTTCCTCCTGGGTTAGGTTAGTTAGGTTGTTGGTATCAGAGTATGTTAAAGTGGTTTTATAGTTGTAGTATTAACCTCTGTGCAGTGATGTGGTGTCTGATAAACCTTAACATTTAAGAATATGTTGTTCAAACCGCAATAAATATTTCAACCTGTTTCTGATTGGTCAATATGTTTCACTCATAAATTCCCTCCAGCCTCTCTGACTGTGAGTCCCAGCAGCTCTCAGATGTTTAAAGGACAGTTTGTCTCTCTGAGCTGTGAGGAGGACGACAGCTCTGCTGGATGGACACTGAGGAGGAACACAACCACAGACACCAGGACTCAGTGTGGAGTAACATGGGGAGAACCAGCTGGTTCTTCTTGTAACATCAACTTCATCGTCCCAATAGAGAGTGGCGTTTACTGGTGTGAGTCCAGAGAGGGAGCAACCAGTAACACCATCAACATCAGTGTCACTGGTAAGATCAGACTGTGGAGTTAGTGTTGATGAAGCTGTGTGTAAATGGATGAAATGCTGTAGTCTGTCTCTGTGTTGAGGTGGACCAGTGATCCTGCAGAGTCCTGTCCTCCCTGTGATGGAGGGAGATGATGTCTCTCTGCACTGTAAAACAAAGACCCCTCCCTCCAACCTCACAGCTGCTTTCTATAAAGATGGCTCCCTCATCAGGACTGAGCCTACAGGTCACATGACCATCCACCATGTTTCCAGGTCTGATGAAGGCCTCTACAAGTGTCACATTGGCAGTCATGGAGAGTCTCCACCCAGCTGGATCACTGTCACAGGTGAGGAGGTTACAGAGTTTTTCCTTGCCCTTGTCTCCAAGGTCTTGCTCATGGTGGTACTGTTGGGTCTCTGTAAATAATGTTATAAAGAGTTCGGTCTAGACCTGCTCTATTTGAAAGTGTCCTGAGATAACTTCTGTTATGAATTGGCGCTATACAAATAAAACTGAATTAAATTGAATAACTCTCTTTTCCGTTTCTCTGTCCTCTCTGGTTGAAACGGGTCAAGGATCAGCTGAAAAGAGATCTGGATCTAGAATTTATAACATTACAGTGTTTGTTTTAGTCATTAATAGCAGTTATTATGGTTTAATGAACAGATCTACTGGGCAAAGAGCCAAACAACTTCAAACAGACCGAAGTGACTTCAGAGACACTACAGGAACATAAAAGACTCTGAAGAGAGTCAAACAACCACAAAGAGCCACATAAAGACTACAAAGACCAAAACTACTACAAAGAGACAGAAACCCACAGAAATAGATATAAAACAGATCCGATAAAAGACCAAAAGGAGGAGAAGAGACACAAAATACAGACAGACAAAAAGAAAAATACAGAGTACTTTCAGTGAGTTCTGTTATTTTTCATTCACTTCAGGGAAACCCACCATCAAACCTCCTCCACCCTCCACTGCTGGTTTCTTCTCCTCCTCTTCCTCTTCCTCTCCTCCTCCACCGTCCACTGCTAGTTTCTTAGTGTTGGTGTGTGTTCCATCTATCTGTGGAGTGGTGCTACTGGTTGTACTGGTTCTGCTGGTGAGACGATGTTTCTGGAGGAAACCTGAAGGTGAGACACAGATTCCTCTCACACACACATTTCACATACAGAATATAAACAGTTATCTGGATGCGACACACACACACACACACACACACCGGGGGGGAGGAAGGTTTGTTGTCCCGGCCCCCGCAGAGGAAGCTGTCCACTGGCACTGACTGCAGCTCTCTTCGGGTCTTTCAGCTCCAGGCTCTGATGGGAGGAGGGAACCCGGCTGCGATCCAGCACTCACTGCAAGGAGGAAGAGGAGGACGGCACCTGGACAGACACAGTACGCAGGGACACAGGAGAGGACAGACAGAAACACAGCACAGCACAACGGTAGAGAACAAGCTTTTACTCCCGAATTAAACTGCAGTTTCTCTTTCACTCAAATCAGCAACTCTGTAAAGAAATGTTCTTTAGAAAGTGAAGGTCGGAGTTTGGTCAGAAGCTGTTTTTCCTGTGTGAAATGTTTGTTCTGTCTACATCTCTACATGGGATGTACAGTTAAATAATATTATGCTGTGTTACATGAAATTCTTTTAAATATCATACACAGTATCATACTCCATCCTTCTTCTTACTGAATCCATCCTCCATGTTGACTCTGCAGAGACGGACCCAGATCCAGTCTACTCAGCAGTGGCGAGAACAGCAGACAGGTCGAGAGGTACAGCCGCTCCTCTTCATCAGTGTCTGCAGCGATGTTAGCAGTGTGGCTCTGTGCATGAGAATCTCCGTCTGCTGGATGGATTGAGACCGTTAGCATGTAGCCTCACAGAGCTCCTGCAGTTTGGGGTTTGCAGCACACTTCCTGTCTGATTCAATGTTTCCAGACGCAGTTGGTGAACATAGTGGAGCATTTAGCAGCTACAGGGCCTGAGGAGTGACATTAGGTTGTCTACTGTAAGCCGACAGGTCGTAATAATATAATGCCAACGTTTGAATTTAAAAATAATAATACCTTAGCATCAAACATTACTTTAAATTTCAACCTCAACTTTACTTTAAAAGAAGTTTGAGTGCAGTGAAAGGTGACGTTGGTTTCCACCAGTAAAATAAAAATAAGATTGTTAATAGAACCTAATTTAATAATCTTGAATCATAATTTCAACGTTTTGTGTCATAATTCTGACTTTACTTGATCTCATACTTTTGAGTTATATAGCATAATTATGACTTTCTATATAATACTTTTGACTATTAATCTCATAATTTTGACTAAACATGAACGTTTTATCTGATTTTACTGCAGAAATGCCGTCCATATTGTCGTCTTTCACAGCGGTGATGATGATAAAAAGCAAAAACATAAACTGTGACTGTCATTTAATTCAGTTTAAATTGCAAATCTTTGCAGCTATAATACAAAAATCTCCTCTTATTGTAAAGTAATAAACATAATTAACAGATGGACAGACATGAGCTGTAGATAAAGTGACAGTGTTGTTAGTTTGTATTAATATTATTGTCTTCTGCAGAGAGTGATCCAGCTCCAGTTTATTCAGCAGTGAGAAAGAATGAAGACGTCAGTTATGGACAAATATCCATCAGAACAACCAGCAGCAGAGGTACAGTCGATGTTATAGATAACTATACTATATAATTACTGTTATATATTACTGTTATAGATAACTATACTATATAATTACTGTTATATATTACTATTATAGATAACTATACTATATAATTACTGTTATATATTACTGTTATAGATAACTATACTATATAATTACTGTTATATATTACTATTATAGATAACTATACTATATAATTACTGTTATATATTACTGTTATAGATAACTATACTATATAATTACTGTTATATATTACTATTATAGATAACTATACTATATAATTACTGTTATATATAACTATTATAGATAACTATACTATATAATTACTGTTATATATAACTATTATAGATAACTACATTACATAACTACTGTTGTTTATTACTATTATCGATAACTATTTTATATAACTACTGTTATAGATAACTATTATAGATAACTATATTATATAACTACTGTTGTAATATATAATATGTATATATGTTGTACTTTCTAACAGTGAAGGGAAAGAGGAATGTTTTCTAATGTTTGAACTGTTTGTGTTCAGAGTTTCCAGCGGAGGCACCGGTCGTCTACTCTTCACTGAGGTTCACCTCCACACCTTCAACCAGTCCAACCACTGCTGACTGACTGCTCCAGATACATGATTAATGTAATGATGTGTAGTGTGTCTACAGTCCTCCTGCTGGAAACTCTTATTTATGTAAAATAAAGCTTTCATTATTGACTCAGTAACATGTGTGATACATTCAGTGTGAACAATCACTGACTGGTGATAGACGCCCACTGTAAAGCAGCATATAGATGCAGTCAGACAGCCAGCAGGTGGCAGCACAGGAGCTTCTCTCTGTCCACCAGATGACGACTGTCACTCAGCACAAACAGCAATGACACACAGAAACACAGTGTGCAGCAATATTCAGCAGCGTCCTGCAGCACCCATCATTTATATGTGACATTAAGTGTTTCACTGCTTCTGTTTGTCTGCAGGTGAACCACACTGACCTCAGATCAGTTCCAACATCTTATTAACAGTCTGTGAGCGTCACCACGGCTAACTGTGCTCCTGCAGGCTGTGACTGTAGCAGCAAATACCACAGAGGGGAGTTTCAGACATTTCAGACATTCTACATATGTAATACTGGAGTAACTACTCAATACATAATAATGCAGTAACGACTCAGTACACAATAATGCAGTAAGGACTGAGACTCATGGCTCAGAATGTCAACATGTTGACGTGCGTCTTTAGTTTAACCTTGAATGCAAAACCTGTTATTTCACATTCAAAGTATTCTGGGAAGAGACTGCTGAACACACACACACACACACACACACACACACACACACACTTACACAAACACACACACCCATGTAGTCAACATAATAAAATGTAAATAAAGATTCAAGAGCTGATTGTTGCTTCCAGTGCTTTATTGGCTGTCAGTGTGAACACATACATTGTTATGATCTATTACACACATAAGTGTATAAAATATGTGTATCTATGAATAAATACATATAAAAGCAGCAGTGAACAGCAACAGCAGTGTTTGTGTAAAGTGTTAACCAGAATAGTGTGAGGCTGTAGAGAGTGCTGGAATAAAGACTGAATATTGACACTGACTAATACGAGAGAATAAAGACTCTAACTGCTCTGTGTGTTTGGGCTGCTCAGTAAAGATGGCGACTGGAGGACTCGAGGCTGCTGCTCCTCTGCTCTTCAACCAAACACTTCCTGCTTTATAATTCTAGTCGGAGTTTTTAAATTGATTCAAAACCCAGAAAAAGTCCCAGTGAAAGTCTCTGAATCTAAACTCTGTTTCACTTTTGTTTCCTGAGAATCATTCCAGAGCGATTACAGATGAAACCTCTTTAGTTTCTTTGTTCAGTGTCACTCGGCTCACAGCCTGAAAGTCCTGACAGGAAATAAAACTATAAACATTATCATGTTTCCTTCTTAAAGTGAACAAATCCAACTGATCAGCTCCGAGTTCAACAGCAGCTGAAACCATTGACCTCCACATTAGAGAGTTTAATCTAATCTAATGCAGTGTGTGTACCATGAGGGAGGACGAGGGTTGTGGTGTCAGCTTTCAGTCCCTGAATGCACCACCAGATAAAACACGGTTTTAAGTTTCAGTTTACAGGACGACAGAAACAAAGAGCAAAACATAAAACTGAACAGAGTGTAAACACACACACACACACACACACACACACACACACACACTATTACACACACACAAGTGAGAGGAGATAAAATGTTCCTTTATTGATTTAGTGCAAACAGCAAAGACTTTATACAATAAAGTTGAATGTGGTCCAGATGGATCAGTGAGCAGTGTTACAGGATATTGTGCAATACAAAAGAAAAAGGGTTGATCTCGCTGCTGCAGGAGGAAGAGGAACCATTAAACTATCAGTCACTGTAAAGCTGTTTGCATTCTTTATGCAAACTCTGAATTACCGACTGTCCTCTACTCTTCCTCTGTAGTTGAGCTGTTTTTCCCTCCAATGTAAAGAACGAAGAAGAAAACAATGTCTATCATTCTCTCTCTGAAAGCAGCGTCAGATAACAGCCGTCAGTTCACATTCCTACAGACAGTACATGATAATCTGAGCTGTGAGACTGAAACGCTTCATTAGAAGTTCTCTGTGTAGATTCCAGAAATATACAAACAGCCCAGGTTGATTTTATGGGACAAACAGAAACATTTAGTTTATTTTCTGGTTTGAACTCGTGCAGCTGAGTTCTGGAGGAGTTGTAGTCTGTGGATTATTTTTGTTTGAAGACACAGAGCAGCCAATCAGAGTGCAGAGATCATATGATGTCACTAGTGTCCAGGCAGACACAGGCTGCTGCTGCAGAGAGGTTGATCAGAATATTGTGATCCAGCAGGTATTGATCAGGAGGACAGCTGTTAGAGTGACATCATCCTCTGACTGATGGTGAATTCCTCGCAGTGGGACATTTTACTATAAAAGGTTAGAGCTCTCAGGCTGCTGGGGGAATTTAGTTTTAGTTTCCTGTGAGTCATTGAGTGCTCAGACACAGAGTCACCAGCAGTGGATCACATTCAGAGTGTAGAGCCGAGTTCAGTCCTACATTGATCCTCTATATTAGATATTATACACTCAGTAGTGAGCAGAGTGTGCACACACAGAGGAATAAAGAGCTGCAGTTCATTCTCACAGTCTCTAACATTAAACAGGAAGGACTGAACCCACACCCTGATTCAGACTGAGCTGTGGGGGATGGTGCAACGAGCTCAGAGCAGCTTCAGACCGCACGCTGTAAACAGCCGCCATTTTGTTCTCTGATTACAGAGACAGGATCAGACAGGCATTTTATCACCTGTCTGTGCTTGATATCAGATCACAGTTAGAGTCAGTGATCCTGTTGTTCCTGTTACAGGACGTTCAAAAGTCAAACTGATATTTCAGTTCTGTTCTGAGTAAAGAGAGAAAGGTCAGACTGGACTTTGACCTTCTGCTCTCCATAAATGTGTTAAACATGAACTCTCTGAGGACTCTCAGACTGATCAAACTTCAACAGCTTCAGGCTGCAGTTACATTAAACAGTAAGGTTGTTTTCAGTTTGGCCTTTGGTTCACACATAAAGCTGTTTTTAGTGAACAGTCGGTTTCTCCTCTGACTGACAGCTGGCCTGGTGCCACAATGATGATGAGACATCAAACAAAGCGTGTGTGTTCTACCTGAGAGCAGGAACACACCTGAAGGTATCTGGTTGAGCTGCTTTTGATGCCAGCAGAGATTCAACCTGCCAACAAGGTCAACAGCAGATTATTAGATAGTTTCAGGTACATTTACTCAAGTTCTGTACTGAAGCAGAATTATTTCTTTATATATTTCAGACAGTTGATGCTGAGCTCACACACTCACAGTTAGGAACATTTAAAATATCAACAGGGTTCAGAAAAAAAACTCCCATCAGACATCAGATGAGGTCATGAGACAAAGAAAAAATTCCACGTACCAAGTTGATCTTTGTCACAGTGATTGTTCTTATTTACAGTCAACAGCTGACAAACAGTCAGCAGGAACAAGATGTTTGTACGACCAATAACCCACAAAGACCATGTGCAGGACAGAACCTGGGACAGACCTGGGACACCATCAAAGCTGGTTCTGCTGAGAGACTCAGGATCTGAAGATTCTGATTGTGATGGGACTGATTGATAACTGAGAATATTCATATATATTAATTATAAAGAATTCAAACTCATCCTCAGAGTCTTTCTATGTAAGTTGATCACAGTGGAACGTTTCATTACAGCAGACTCATGCTGCTTTAGGGGGAAGTGATACTCGGGACTTTCATGTGACTCACACAGTTACACAGTGACAATGTAATACATCAGAATCCTGTTTTATCTTATGGAGTGTCCAGATACAGTCAGACAGAAACAGTAAATATATTAAAAATGAACAGAGTTCTTTCATGAACAAAAACTTAAAAGAAAAAGAGAAATTTAGACACAAAAGGACTGAACAGCAGCAGTCTGTTAGCGTGTTCATTAAAGAGGAAGGACTGGACCACAGTGACTCACACTGAGAGGTGGAGGATGGGTGCAGTTTCCAACCGCTGTAAATGTCTCCATTATGTTCTCTGACAACAGAGACAGGATCAGACATGCAGCCTGAGTGAGCCTGATTTCAGTTTCATTTCTCAGTAAACGCTACAGTCATAATCTTGTTTTCTCTCAGTTTAATTGACTTTAATCAGCTCCTTCTCTGTTCTAAAAGTCTAAAACCATATAGGTCATGCAGTGTGGTTGCTGAGCCTCTTTATTATGGGATATATAAGTAGAGTAGACTGTGGCCTTCAGGCTCTCTAGAGGTGAGCTGATGTCTGTTACCTGTGGGCTGTTGCCTGGAAACTCTGCTCTGTTGTCTGTTGGTTGAGCTTTTGTTTGTCATTCAACAGCTCACACTGTCTATGGAAAAACAACCTGTGGAACATTTACTCGAGTACATTTACTCAAGTACATTTACTCAAGTACTGTACTTTTACTTCAGTATTTCTGTTTTATGCTACTTTATACTCGTGAGCTGTTATGTCTTTTATTTATGATGTCTTATTTATTCTCCTGTACAGCACTTTGGTCAACTTTAAAGTTATTTTTAAAGTGCTTACAAATAAAGTTGGATTGGATTGGATACTTCAGTACATTTATCTGCAGCTGTAGGTTCAGATTCTATAAATATATTAGAGAATAAACAAGCAGCATCATGTAAAGTGATTCACCAACTTAAATACCTCTCTATGTTCGTGCATCAGCAACAATAAGACGACGCCTTAAAGCTTCACAGGAGATAATGAATGTGCTGTGTGATCACAACCTGCAGTTATTTGAAACCCAGGTGTGGTTAGAAGTTCAACAGGATTAGATTCTCACAATAAAGGTGTATCCCAGTGCACACAGTGATATTAGGATCTACAGTTTTATTACAGTCATAAAAAAATAAAGATATTAATAATTTGTTATTATTATAAGGAAACATTTTCTATGTCAATAATGAATTATAAACATACATATAATTAGAATTATGAGCATTAGAACATTTCCAATGTGTTATAGACATGTATATATATATATATATATATATATATATGTTTAACAGTCTGAGCTGTGGTCTGTTAGCATGAGATGCTATAAGTGTGTAAGCTAACAGCCAACAGTTGAGGCTCAGGTTCTTTCCCCTCATCATAACAGCAGTGTGTGAAGGGAAACCGGGGCGGCCCCGTTTATCTATCGTCTATCTAATAAAAAGACATAAAAACCTAAAAATATCACAAAACAAACAAACAATGCAAATAACACAACGTGAGTATCCAAATGTAACCAAATAGAAACCTTTATTTTTCCTTTAAAAGTGCATTAATACAATATTAAAAGCTTAAAAGCATCAAACAGAAGTTTTACAACAGAAACAGTTGACACCATCTGGGACAACATCAAAGCTGGATGAAACATCATCTTTTATGTCTTTTAAAGATAGAATTAAGATTAAAATGACACACACACTTTAGACCTCTTTATACCTGACTTTAAAAGGTTTGTCTGTTTTCAGCTCACCAGCAGTCTGATGGATCAGTGCAATGACCAGGGATGGAAGAAGAAAATGTCCTGTTGTTACTGTGTCCTCTAACACTTACTTAAGTATTTCAGACTGTCGATACGTCTCTGTTACTTATTCTGCTGTTAGAGTCACAGGTTATTTCATTGATAGGGCTTTATATTGTCTGTCCAGGTACTGAAGTTACTGAGGAAGGTGGCTGTGTATCTATAGGTGATGATCAGTGCTGTGAACACTGTACACACATCACATGGTACACACTTTATGTTGTGGCCTGAAGGTACTTAGGTAATAGTTCTATCACATTAGATTATCATGTTCCCCTTACAGTAATGTTCACTTACAGCTCATGTTAAATGATCCACTCTGTACTACAGGCCTTTTATAGAGCTCCTTGTTTGTTTTCTCATCTGTCGTGTATCTTTTAATCTATCCTTCCCTCTTTTTTTCTTTCTTTGTTTGTATTTACATTCTCCCTATGTTTGTGTTTTTGTGTGTTGTTATGTTTATTTATTTGTTGTTTGGAAAGCACTTTGGATCTCTTTGTCAAAAAGGTGCTATATAAATAAAGTTTTACTGACTTACACTTACTTACCTACTCTATCTGAGTGCAGGTTAAGGAATTCAACTATTTTCACTTGAACTGAATATTGTAGTACTTTTTCCATCCCTGGCTTGTTGAACTGCTTTTAGTCTGACCCTTTCCTGGGACCAGTTTGTCGTGGGAGACCCCACCAGGAGCTGAGTGCTCCAGACAATACAGCTTCCAGGATCAACGGGTACACAAACCCCTCCACCACGATAAGGTAGCAATTCACAGAGGGGAGACATTGTTAGTTTGCACTGAACCATACAGACAGCGGAGAGCCTCAAACAGCACAGACAATAATGTTGTATCATGATGTGTTCAGGTATAAAGAGGTCTGTTGCAGTTCAGAGGAGCTGATCACCCACTGCTTCATCAGCAGCTGGTTCTGAGTTACTGTCTGTGTGTCTCTTTTTTCTTCCAGAGAACCATTCCAACAACAACAGCTGAACAAATCAGACCGAAAGCTGTCAGTCCAACTGCCAGTCCAATGTGTTTGGAGTTCTCTGTAAGATGAAAACGCACATTAGTCAGAAATGACTGAACAGAATCCATTTCTTCTTCTATATCCCTCATGTTTGACTCTGAGAATCACCCTGAACTCCACTAACTCACCTGAGGCTGTGACCTCCAGTTGGATGGTTCTGATTGGGTCAGTCTTAATGTTGGCTCTCTTACGACGGCTTGGACCACCTGTAGCAACTCGACACTCGTATGTTCCTCTGTCACTGATGCTCACGTTCTTTAGAACTAAAGACACGTCTCCATGCTTCGGCTCTCTGTCTGACAGATCCACCCGACCCTGAAAGGATGGATGTTGGTAGGTTGGATCTGACTGTCTGTTTCTGTAAAGAGGACGTACTCTGGAGGCTCCAGGTCAGGTCTGGTCCACTCTACAGCTCTGATAGAGTCATCACCAGCTGAACATGGCAGAGTGACATCACCTCCAGGTTTCACTGGTATCACAAGTAGCTCTAAAAACCAACAATAAACATCCAGAGAGAAAAAGTTAATACATTTTAAAAGGACTCCACAGACAGGACACACACTGTTTAAACAGAAGGCCTCTTTAAGGAAGGTTAAGGAATATGAATCCACTGAAAGTGAATTATTACCATTACAGAGTGAATGGAGATCTTTATCCCCGTCTACAATCGTATTAAATGTTAAACCAAGATCATTCTGTGTTTGTAAAAAAGCAAGTGAAATGACATAAAGAATTAACGACATAGAAACTACAGTGAGCAAGGTGGGCCATGCTGAAGTTCACCAAGAGTTCAGCCATATGAATTCATTAATTAAGCATTAATTACAGTCCTATACAAACATGACCATTTATCAAAAAATATAATATTGATTCCGATTTGTCAAAAGTGTCCATTTTGTGGGTGGTGAATGCAGAAAAGCTGGTCTGGTCCCACTACCACGCTCATTGTTTTGTTGGTGTTTTGATTCCAATAAAAGTCTTATGTTTCAGATTTGATTAGATTAGATTTTTTCAAGTGACTGAATATGCTTCTGTGTATATTAGTGAGGTTCTTTCTGAGGTTGTCAAAGTACACAAACTTTAGGACCTGACAATCAGTCACTATCTCTCTCAGACATTTTTATAGAAGTTACTCCTGCAGTTTTAATAGGGAACCAACATGGAACACAACAATCTGTGATTATTTGTATCTTTGCGACATCTGAAAAATATCTCTTTGAATACTTCAGTACAACTATTGTATAATATTTTATTTTGAAAGGAAGCAATGTTAAAGTTGTTGGCATATCTGTTTTATTTTGAAGTTCTGTGTTTACTACATTGCACTTTGTACAATAAAAACTGTTTTTACATTCTCATCGACATTTATGGAACCCTTCCAGCTCTCTCTCTGCTGCCTCCCTCTGATAAACCCTCCCTCTGATAAACCCTCCCTGTGATAAACCCTCCCTCTGATAAACCCTCCCTCCAAACCCACAAGAGAGCAGCAGGAGGAGTCAGTTCTCTCTCTCTCCAGCAGGGAGGTGGGTTTGGTTTTAGTCTCCCCTCATTGGTTAGATTTCTAAAGTCTGAAAACAGAGGAGGAGTCTGGTTTCCCTCCGAGATTCAGCAGCAAACAATGCTGAGAGGTTAAAACTGTTCTACATTATTGATACTTTAAACTTCAGTCTCATTATTCAAAAACCTGAAATCAACTGTAAAAAGATGATCTGAGTAAACCTTTATCTTACAAAGACATTTTCTAGAACAATAAAACATTATAACTGGTCAAAAATCATCTTTCTGCCTCCATCTACAATCTATTGACAATAAAAATCTTTACCAGCAGCAGCTTGAGACAGGAGGAACAACAGGAGCACAAATGGAGCCATCGGAGCCGAGTGAATGTCCACCTGCTGTCTGCTACACTCTCCGTCGATGGAACTACCCTGACTGTAACTACTCTGACTGTAACTGCGCACTGCCAGGAAAGGGAGTGGTGGTGCTCTTATGTAAAGCTGTGGGCGGATCGCTCAGCCTGATTTACAGGAAGACAAGTAGAGCTGCAACTTTCATGATCAATTCATTTGTTGATCATTTTCTCCATTAATCAATTAACTTTTTTTTTCATAAAATATCAGAAAATGGTGAAAAATATTGATCACTGTTTCCCAAACCCCAAGGTGACGTCCTCAAATGTCTTGATTTGTCCACAACCCAAAGATATTGGTTAATTTTCATTTTAAAAGATTCAATATGATTAACTGATTATAAAATAGTAACAGCAATTTAAGAGTTGAAGGCTATTTTTTATATTTTATATAATTTCAAACTTTAGTTCCAAAATGTAGATCTCATCAAATGTGGTTTACTAACATGAAACCATTTTATACCATCATATGCTGGGGTGACAATCTGTGAGGACCCTGAGAAGAACCCTGATCAGCAGCTAAGTATTTCAGTAAAACACAAATAAAAGTGTTTTTAATACATCATTTTTAATATCAGACTACCAGGGACTTCGTTGTTGTTTTAAGTTTAAATTAAGTCTTGTCAAACAGGTTGTTAATCACACATCCTTATGTTGATGAAAATGTTATTTAAAGTACAGATTGCATCCTAACACAGTGCAGTGAAAAGACTATGTGGGGTACACATGGCGTTAAAGATGTGTGCCAGTATGCACATTCACACCGGCTGTGGACCTCCTAAGCACACTTTTTGTGTGTATGCATGGTTTGTACATCTTTAAATATCACTGCCTCACAGCTAACACACACACACACACACACACACACTTTAATTTTAAGTCTGAGATGAGCCTCTGAAGGAATCTCAGAGGTATATAAAGTACTTGAAAAAAATAAGTAAAATTACAAATACCATACCATAACTAAAAATTACTTTGTTAAAAGTTAAAAGTCACCCATAAGAAAATCACTTGAGTAAAAGTCTTAAAGTAGCTCACATTAAATGTACTTCAGTATCAAAAGTACCGTATCTTGTGAAAAAATATGCTCAAGTATCAAAAGTACAAGTACAAGTAAAGTACAAAGTATAAAAATGGTTCTCCCCTTGTTCTCTTTATTTCACTTTCAGGTGAGTGAAATATGTGGTATGATAAAACAAAAACAAAAAAACACCTGAGCAAACATGTAGAGTGAGTGAAGTGTCTCGTGTCTGCCTGAGAACATAACTATAAATAAAGCGTCTGTCTGCCTCAGAGAACACAACTAAATAAGGTGCCTTGTGTCTGGTTAAGAATACAACTCAGAAAATACATGACCACAGCGGGTGACTGTTGTCTTCTACTGAAGGAGATGCTGTCAGTGTGGTAACGTCTTCTTCATCAACGTTTACTGCAGAGGTAGTGATGTTGATCTCCGCCGCCCCGCGCATCCCTTACCTCTAATCTTCTCGAGAGTACCGTACGTTGTTCTTCTCGTCCTCTCAGACACGCCCCTTCCACGTAATCCTTTGATGATTCATTATATTTCTATTTTAATTTATAACGAGTGAAGAGGTGGCAAACGTCAAGGTAATGGAGTAAAAGTATATGTTTTAGCTTTTAAATGTAGTAGAGTAAAAGTAAGTCTTGATTAAAAGAAACTCAAGTAAAGTACAGATCCTCAAAAAACTACTTAAGTAGTGTAACGAAGTACATCTACTTCGTTACTATACACCTCTGAGAAATCTAAATTCAACATGATTCTCCATCCTATTCATATCTACATAACGCACAAATATAACCATTCAGCTGTGAGCAACAATAATCTCAACATCGCGCATTCATATGAACCAGCGCACAGTGAACATGGCCCTCTGCTGGACTCAGACTGACACTGTTTGACAAGATCAGCCTCTAATATAGAACATAGCATAAAGCTAAGATGGCACCTATAACCTGAACAGCTGGCCCTCTGCTGTGGTCAGAACAAGCTGGAGATCAACAAACTGTGGAGATGACAGTGGACTTTAGAAGGAGCCCCCCAACTCTGCCCCCCATCATCATACTCCACAGCCTGTGTCTGCAGTGGAAACCTTCAGGTTTTTGTGATCCACAATCTCCCAGGACCTTAAGTGGGAGTCCAACACAGACACCATCATCAACAAGGCCCAGCAGAGGATGTACTACCTGTTCCAGCTCAGGAAGCTCAACCTGCCTCAGGAACTGCTGATCCAGTTCGACACCGCCATCAATCAATCTGTTCTCTGTTCAACCATCACTGTCTGGTTTGGAACGGTCCAACAGGACAGGAACAGACTACAGGGGACAGTCAGGACTGCAGAGAGGATCATTGGAGCCAACCTGTCCTCCATTCAGGACCTGTACTGGTCCAGAGTCAGGAAACATCCCTGCAGATCCATCTGACCCTGAACACAACCTGTTCCAGTTTCAATCCATCACTCTGACCAACAGTTAACTACAGACTCACAGTGTCAGTAGTACAAAAACATCCACTTATGTGCACCATAGAGTTACAATGCAACTTATTTAATATGTGTACATCATCATGCACTGTCAATATATATATAGTAGTATAAATAGGGGACTGCAATGTAAATGACACTTTAAAATCATACTGTATGGATCCAACCACATAATGTTACACATTAATGGCGCTGAGATGCCAAACACCAATGTAGGACTAAATGAACTAGAACCATCAACAGTAACGTGCCAGACAACAATAATTATACAACCTTCTGTCCTGAAGACACATTAGCTCTTAAAACAACGAGTAAAGGTCCAACATTAAAGCATGATTGACCTGTAACACACTGAACTATTTAGGGGATAGCACAGTGCTGTTGGATGAGGTGTGTGCGTCTTTACGCACGGTGCCAATATTCACATGTGCAGTAGTT